TTGCCCTCAGCAAGGAGTCTGCTTCTCCCTCTCCCTCTGCTCCTCCCCCCACTCATGTGCGCAGATGCTCTCTCTCTCTCTCTGAAATAAATAAAATCTTTATTTTAAAAAAAGGGGGGATGCGCCTGGGTGGCTCAGTCGTTAAGTGTCTGCCTTTAGCTCAGGTCATGATCCCAGGGTCCTGGGATCGAGCCCCACATCGGGCTCCCTGCTCCGCAGGAAGCCTGCTTCTTCCTCTCCCACTCCCCCTGCTTGTGTTCCCTCTCTCGCTGTGTCTCTCTCTGTCAAATAAATAAAATCTTTAAAATAAATAAATAAATAAAAAGGGGGGGTTCCAGTTCTAAAATGCAATGGTTTCAGACTCACCTCAACTCTGTCACTTGACAGGGAAGAAAATTACCTATTCACTTCATTTGTGTCTAATTCATTTTTTCATTCATTTTTCCCTCATCCTAACACCGCGCCCCCCGCCACACACACATACATACTTGCCCACACCTGAGTTGTGTTCTTAGGAAATACCAGTGGGCAGCGCTGCCATCTGGTGGCCATGACCATAAATGCACGTAACCTCACTGTTCTTGCCCTTGAAGGGGGTGGGGATCAACAGAGGGGGTGAAGTCCAAGTCACAGATTAGATATGAGAATCACAACCACCCACAATGACCGGAAGTAACTGTCAGACAGACTTCAGCCTGCACCATACAGTCATGTCACCATTCAAAGGGCAGTTTTTATAATAAAATGTGGTATTAGTGGGGAAGCTGGGTTCCAAGCCAAACTCTGCCCTTGTGACCTTCAAAAACAACAAAAAAATCACTATGACATGTTTTCAGATATCCAGCCCCTGCCTGAACTCCGTCAGTAAACTTGTAATTTTCCAAGGAAATTTACTTTGCTGTGACAGCTCTTTCTCATCCTGAGCTGAACGTGTCTGCTGCACACTCACCAGTCCGAGTCCTACTCTGTTGGCCCTGAAATGCATCTAATACATTTTCACAAAACAGACCTTTCCCAAATGACAATCCTGAAGTCCCTACACTCTTCTGTCCCTTTCCAATGGGCCAGCGAAGTGTGTCCAGCACAGCGGAAACTCAGTATTCTAGGAGTGTTCTGACCAGCACAGCAGAGCCACAGGACCACCCATCTCCCCATTCTGGGCGCTAGACCTGTATTAGAAAGCCACATCAGCTGATGCGACGACACTGGTTTTTCCTACTTGTACAGCGGCTCTGTCACCCCACACTTCTGTTGGCGTACACTTTTTTTTTTTAAGATTTTATTTATTTATTTGAGAGAGAGAGAATGAGAGAGAGCACGACAGGGAAGGGGATCAGAGGGAGAAGCAGACCCCCCGCTGAGCAGGGAGCCCGATGCGGGACTCGATCCCGGGACTCCAGGATCATGACCCGAGCTGAAGGCAGTCGCTTAACCAACTGAGCCACCCAGGCGCCCGGCGTACACTTTTTATTCAGCTTTTTAAAAGATTTATTTTGAGATAGAGGGAGTGGGGGGGAGGGGCAGAGGGCGAGACTCTCTAAATAGACTCCCTGCTGAGCACAGAGCTAGAGCTCACAACCCTGAGATCATGACCTGAGCCAAAATCAAGAGTTGGACGTTAAACTGACTGAGCCACCCAGGAGCCCCATATTCAGTTTTATTTTTTTAAGAAATATTTATTAGAGCCTGCTGTGTACTATGCGCTGGAGACACAAAGATGAACCAGACCTGGTCTCTGCCCTCACTGAGCTCTGGGCTACGGAGGGAACCTAATTCAAAGCCAGACCATCACAGTTCAGCGGGAAATACCTCAACAGAGGTAGACACAGACTTTTGAGGACCATCCCAGCAACCCCCTGTGAAAATCTTCCACTCTTGTTTTCTGGGCTCAGTTTTCCTCATTTCAAGCTCAAAGTGAAAAAAAAAAATAGTAATAATGCAAATGTCCCAGACGGTCATACTTGGGTCAGACATTTCCTTCTGGTTAATCCAAGGCATTTTGGGGCTCATTCTGAATGTCCACTCTCTCCTGTTAGAGCTCACCACAGCTGCCACATGAACAGAAATTCTAGCAGGTCAGAAAAATTGAGTGTTAGTCCTGTGGCCTTTCTTTCTTTCTTTTTTTTAGTCCTGTGGCTTTGAGGTTAATGGAACTGTATGATGTTGCACAAATCATATAACTTAAATTTCCGTTCTGTGAAATGGAGCAGTTAGGTTAGCCCTCAGTGGGTCTCTATGTCTAGTGAGAGCCCCTCAGAGACAGCTTCACACCTTCTTCTCGGTAGCCACCATCTAGCAAACGCCAGGGACACATTAGGTGCTCAAATGTGTACTGAATATATGTATGAATAAGTGATAATTAGGGCAGCATGAATCATGGAATCAATTAACAAACATTTCTGAATGTCTACTAAGTACACTGTGGAGTCAGGAAACCAAATAGGGGCAGAATGGTATTTTCTCCCCACTTTCCCTTACCTCCTTCCTGAAGGGGAAGCTTTGTAAGGCAGAGGCTGGGTTGAAACAAATAATGTTCTCAAGATGGGCTCTAAGTAGTTGTCAATATTAACAAGAAAAAAGCCTGTTTATCCTGGGGGTGTTTTATATCAATGAACCTGAGGGACCCAAAGCCCCCTCCCATGGTACCCAGGACCAAACCTCACCCCAAGTCCTTGGAGGGGAAAACCAGACAGAGGGAACTGACAGGGAGCCAGGACTGAGGGGACCAGGAGGAAGGGCTGAGGAGCTCACTGACACTGCAGCAGCCTGGGAGCAGACTGACGGACAACTCAGTGGGCAAAGGAAAGCGCTCCCACCAGGTCCCTTGTGGTACATGACCATTCATCAGTGAAATTTTCTTTCTGATAATGGACTGCACTTTTCACATGCTTCCTAACATACCAGGCCTAGTTAAAGTGTTACGAGAATATCACTTAATTCAACAAACACTGATAGAGTACTCCCAAAGTGCCAGGCCCTACACAAAAATGAACAGTAACACCCCCTCCACTACCCTCAAAGATCCCCATCCAATTAGCTCCATGCTCCTCTGCACTGCCCTCCTCTGTGGCCTCCACCAATCCAAATCCTACCCTACCAGCAAGACCCCGCCCAAGCTCCACCTAATGAGAGTCCCCCCAAGTGACTCTAAGCCCACAGTGAACTCCTGCCACTTCTGGAATTTGGTTCCACTTCCATCTCTAGGTTTTATGAATATATGTCATCTAGCTGGTTAGATTTGAGCCTCCTGAGAACAGAGACCATTGTTAGAATTTTCCAGAGAAACCACATCCGTGGTTTATATCAGACCAAGCTCAGACCAAGCCCATGCCTTCAACTGGAGGCAAATCCCCATTGTGCCTGCCTCATGAAGGTGCTTTAAAGATTTTATTTATTTATTTGAGAGAGAGAGAATGAGAGAGAGAGAACACATGAGAGGGGATAGGGTCAGAGGACGAAGCAGACTCCCTGCCGAGCAGGGAGCCCGATGCGGGACTCGATCCAGGGACTCCAGGATCATGACCTGAGCGAAGGCAGTCGCTTAACCAACTGAGCCACCCAGGCGCCCCATGAAGGTGCTTTATAAACTTTGTAGTAGCAAAGTCTATAATCAACTCTCCAATATGTTGATAAGCAGCAATAATTTGAAAATTGAGAGGGTGGGGCACCTAGGTGGCTCAGTCATTAAGCGTCTACCTTCGGCTCAGGTCATGATACCAGGGTCCCGGGATCGAGCCCCGCATCGGGCTCCCTGCTCCGCGGGAAGCCTGCTTCTTCCTCTCCCGCTCCCCCTGCTTGTGATCCCCCTCTCGCTGTCTCTCTCTCTCTTTGTCAAATAAATAAATAAAATCTTAAAAAAAAAAAGAAAAGAAAAGAAAATTGAGAGGGTAAGAATGATCATACAGAAATCAAAAAGGGTTTGACTCATGCCTTGCCTCTCCCCTCCCAAGTCAAACAATCACGCCATCTGTTCTCACTCCTGCCTGGAGGCTGCCGGGGAGGACTTCCTTGTTAACCATTCCCTCAGCCCCAGCAAATATCACTCAGCATTCAAGCCCGTCTCTCCTCTTTCTTTGAGCACATTTCCCCAAGTCTCTGAAATGAGTCAAGTTTAGTAAGTACTGATGTTTTTACCTTAACGGTTACTCTAAGTAGTATTACCTTCTTCCTTTGCCTTGGGCTGTTTCCAAAGTCTGGAGCCAACAATCCCAACAGCACAGGCAAACACCCTTTAAGGGCTCCTTCCCTCCTATGGTTCCTGTTTCTCAAACCTTCTTGGCCTTGAAGGCCTGGGGGTCTTCCACCAACCCAGTTCCTTCTCCTTTAGTCTAGAGCAACTAAGCCACAGCCACCTTCCTGATGAAAAACAAGGAAGCCCAGTATGACCCACTGCTTCAGGGGCAATGTTCTGAGCAAGAGAGAAATAGCCTCTCATCTTCAGTCCTCTCTGCTTCCCACCTTACTTATGTGGCCACAGAATTGGGAGGAAATTGTAAACAGAGTGAGGACGGAGCAACTTCTCAAGCAACACTCCTGTTGCTCCAGGGGCCTGGAGGACAGAGGGGAAACAGGTCATGTCATCCTCTCTTCTGCTGACCCTTAGTACTCGCTTCCCTGCCTGATATTAAGCTAGAAAGCATCACCAAAAGGTATAAGGAAATGCAAAGAGCAAAAAGATTTGGGGAAGAAATCCTAGCACCCTGGGGGGTAGGGAGTGGGGGAAGAGGAGGGGAGGGAACCAGTATTGCTGCCAAGTTGTCAGTCACCTTCTTGTGTTCTTAAGAATGCTTCATTTTTTTGTTTGGCCAGTTTTGCCTCCCAGATTCCTGTAAACCTGTTACCTAACAAGGTCAGCGTCACTTAGCTGTTCTCGCCCTCTAATGGGAACACTGGCCAGGGATTAAAGCCCAGACCACCATCCCCAGGAAGACGTCGGGAGCCTCCAACTGGAACCCTCCACACTCTGTTGAAGTGACTCAACAGCAGCACCAACAGTCGCAATGAAAATTCTAATCTCTCTCCTCCTTCTGTTGCTGCCACTAATGCTGATGCCTGTGGTCTCTAGCAGCCCAAATCCAGGTAATAAGATTAATTTTCTATAAAGGGGAAACAGGGGGGAGAAAATGTGGCAAAACAGAGAAGAAAATGTGGCAAAAAAAACCCAACAACCATGCATTGAAATGTAGCCCCTTCCAGCTACAGGGATTTGGGACAAGTTAGCTTCTGTCAATGCCTGGTTCCTCATTTACAAAAAGGAGAAGACTATACTTACATCCAGAGCGTTGCGAGAGCGAAATGAGATAGTGGGTATCGAAATATCTGAAACTGTAGCTAACGAAATACAGATATGCACTGGCTCAATAAAAATCTCCCTTGGGACGCCTGGTTGGTTCAGTCGGTTGAGCGTCTGCCTGCGGCTCTGGTCATGATCTCAGGGTCCTGGGATCAAGTCCTGCATCGGGCTCCCTGCTCAGTGGGGAGTCAGCTTCTCCTTCTCTCCCCGCCTGCTGCTCCCCCTGCTTGTGCTCACTCTCTCTGTCCAATAAATAAATAAGATCTTTAAATAAAATTTTTAAATTAAAAAAAAAATCTGCTCCCTTACCTTCTGCCCCTAATCCCTTTGCAGAAGAGCCAGTCTTGGTGACGGCAGTGTAAAGGTGTTAAAGGCAACTGTACATTCACGGAGGATGAGAAGTCCTTGCTTATACTCTTTATAGTGCACCAGAATGCAACCAATAATTTTTAATGCTATTTAATGGTAAAGTAATAAACTAGAAAAATCATATCACCAGATAGTATCCATATTGGAAGCTTTAGCCATACTAAGCTCACCTTTTGGGAAGCAGGCCTTAGGTCAAAGGCTCCAAATCAGCTCCAGCTTTTACTACATCTCAGGTGGCCTCACCATTAGCAGAACAACCATGAAGAAGAGAGCTCATCCCATGTATGTTTCTACTCGAGAGAACCAACTCCTCAAGGCCTACTTTGAGGTAAAATAGCTTTTTTACATATTTAACATCAACTTGATCCTTAAAATCAGAAGTTCACCTTACTCCACCCCAATTTTACACTTCCCTTCCCTTGTAGAGAGAGCTCTCTGGGAGGTGCTGGGCCCCATAGGGCTAGGGCCTAGACTGCCAGTCTGGAGGGGAAGGCTTTTCCATCATGGTGACAGACACCAAGGCTAGAGTCCTCACCCTCGATTCAAAGCTCTAACCACAACCTGCCTTTCCAATCCACCCCTCACTTCACTAACAAATGCTCTGTGTTCCACCTAAACTAGACTGTTGGTTGTTCCCTGAATGGGTCTCATGCTTCCCCACTAGCTTAACTTCACTCATATACTCAGCTCAGAAACCACCTCCTCCTCACAGCCTCCCTGATACCTCTCTCAACCAGATATGAGCCCTCTGTCCCGTGAACATGCTTAGTCCAAACCTGACTCTCTCTTTGCACTTGTCATATTCTGTCCTATACTGAAGGTGTGCCTTTCCTACCTCCACCCTTGCCCTTCTAGACTGTAACCTCCTTGGTGGCACAATCTGGTATATTGTTTCCATATCCCTCACACTATCCAGTATAGTATTCAGTAAATATTTGCTAAGTGAAAGAAAAAATGCTCAGGTTTCTAAGTTCAAAGTGTTGCCCTTAAAAGACTCTACACCTGGGTTTGATAGCAGCTCTATTAACATTTGGGGCTGGGCAGTTCTTTGCTGTAGGGTGCTATTCTGTGCATTGTAAGATGTTCAGCAGCATCTGTGTGGCCTCTACCAACTAGATGCCAAAAGCAGCTTCTCCACCCCTGCCCCCAATTAAGACAGATAAAGTTAACTCCAGATGTTGCCAAATGTCCCCTGGAGGGGGAAACTGCTCCCCAGCTGAGAACTCCTGCAATAGTTCTCAAACCTGACGACACGTTTAGACTGACTTAGACCTGTAGACTCCGCCTTGGAGCCCAAGGAACCTAGATTCAAATCCTGTTCCATCCTTACTTTACAACCCTAGACAAGCTGCTTCATCTTTGGAGCCCGTTTTACCATCTTAAAATGAGTAAAATACCATTTAGAACACAGAATTGTTGTGAATATTAAATGATCTATAATGTATACCTAGCAAGGATTCAATAAACGGACTGAGTAAAATATCTCAAGTATCTCCTAAAGCACAATGACAATGAACTGGGGAAAGCTCGCTCTGCCGCCAGGTGGCGCTATTACAGCCACATCCGGCTCCATCCCAGTCTTCCAGCCAAACACAGCTTTGCAGGACCTGTCTGGCTAGAGGAAACGACACCCCTCACCTTCCCATCCCCACCCCCGATTCTCAAAATAAAATCGGATCTTACTTTATCTCTTAAAATAACCACATACATGCACAGTGTGTTTTTCACAGAGAGGGAGAATAGATAAGAATATATGAAAATGTTAGGAAACAAATCACTTGTAATAAGAGATAAATTACTTATAATATCATTAACTACATTAATCTACAATAATAGCTGAAATGTGTTAAGCAATCCTCTGTGGCAGGCAATGTTGTAAGCTCTTCACACATATTACCTCACAGAAATACATGTATTTTTTAATTCACTTTTCATTTTTCAGACTTAAGAAATGCTATAAAAATAATCAGAGTTCCCATATATCCTTCATCCAGTTTTTTTCAAATAACATCTTACATAACCATAATATGATTATCAAAACCAGGAAATTAGCATTGACATAATACTATTAATGAATGTACTAATATTCAGGTTTGCTAATCACCCCATTAATGTCCTTTTTTTGGTCCAGAATCCAATCCAGGATACTACACTGAATAAAGTTGTCATGTCTCCTTGGTTTTCCCCAAACTAGAGCAGTCTCTCAGCGTTCCTTGTCTTTCATGATTTTGACAGTTTTGAAGAGTACTGCTCAGTTATTTTGTAGAAAGCCCCTCAGTTTGGGTTTGTCTGATGTTTCTTCATGATTAAATTCAGATTATGCATTTTGGGCAAGAATACCACAGAAGTCATGTGTGCCCTCTCCATGCATCAAATCAGATGGCCCACGATAATGATCATTCCCAACTACTGATGATATATTTTTTTAAAGATTTTATTTATTTATTTGAGAGAGAGAGAGCACATGAGAGGGGGGAGGGTCAGAGGGAGAAGCAGACTCCCTGCTGAGTAGGGAGCCCGATGCGGGACTCGATCCTGGGACTCTAGGATCATGACCTGAGCCGAAGGCAGTCACTTAACCAACTGAGCCACCCAGGCACCCACTGATGATATTCATTTTGAACACTTGCTTAAGGTGGTGTCTGCCAGGTTTCTCTAATGTAAAGCTACTCTTTTTCCCACTGTAATTAATAAGTATCTTGTGGAGAGATACTTTAAGACTATGTAAATAGCCTGTTTCTTCTCATCATACTTTTGCCCACTAATTTTTAAAATCCTTTGATGATTCCCACCTTCCACAAATGTTACTATGGTATTAGCCAAATGGTGATTTTCTATTTCCATCATTCCTTCTACATTTATTAATTGGGATTCTACTATAAGAAAAAGCTTCTCCTTCTCTCCCATTTATTTATTGAATTATTTATTTATATGAGTAAAGACTCATGGGGCGCCTGGGTGGCTCAGATGGTTAAGCATCTGCCTTCGGCTCAGGTCATGATCCCAGGGTCCTGGGATCGAGTCCCGCATCGGGCTCCCTGCTCCTTGGGAGCCTGCTTCTCCCTCTGCCTCTCTCTCTCTCTCTCTCTCATGAATAAATAAATAAAATCTTTAAAAAAAAAAAGACTCATGGATATTTATGGATTATAATCCATTACTATCATTATTTATTATGTTGTTCATATTATCTCAGAATTGACTATTGAGAGCTCCTGCAAGTAGGCTTCTCTGTCTTTTTGACATAGCATTTTTTAGCAGTTCCGGACTTTCTGATACCACAAAGATGTTCCGGGCTCATCTTGTACTTCCCTGGCCTGCCTCTGGTTCCTTTCATTGGAGAATGGTATTCACAAACCATGGGCACTAAGGTATTGCCCATGGCTACTAGGTGCCAGTGCTTCTACGCCCTCTAGTGGACAAAGCTGGGAAACAGATGCATGTGCACACACTAATGGACTCTTATTAGCCCCATTTTACAAATTAGGTAAATGAAACACAGAAGTTAGGCAACTTGTCCGAAATCATAAAGTTAATATGTAGTGGAACAGGGAAGTCAAAATAATGATAGATCTACCACGAGTCCTAACAAGTGGGAGTAGCTTCTTTACACATACAGGTCAGCAGAAAGCAACAAACCTAACATTCCAGCATAGACACCCTCTTTGGGACTGAGTGACAGAAATCCGCAATAATAACCACAATAATAACCATCATGTACTGAACACCTACTTGGGCACTGGCCGTTGGGCACCCCCAGTAGCTCATTTATTCCTAATTCTGCAAGGTGGATACTACTATTCTCGTTTTACAAACCAGAGAACCAAAGATCAAAGAAGCCGAGACAACATGGTTAACTGACAGAGCAAGTAGTTGATGCCAGGTCCGCCTGCCTGGATGTAAAATTCATGCTTATTCCACTGTATCAATATTCTCCAAAATTGATTTTCGGTAGGACATAAATTAGCTTTTACTTCAATAGTTATGTTTATGTCAATGCACCTTAGAAAAAAATCTACGCATGTATCAAACCCCTAATCTCACAGATAATATTGCAGAGGATGAGGCTGTTTTGTAAATTAAATTTGTTTAAAGAAAAAGTAAGAAGTAAATAATAGTAGAGGGTGGTACAAGCTACAGAAAGCATCATAAAGGTGGCCCAGAAATGTCTGAGGTCTGGGAAACATAATATTACAGGAACGTGCAGCTTCATTTTAAGTTACACCATGGAATTAGGGTTGTAAAGGCTGCAGAAAGAACAACAGACTTAAGAAACTTGGACCTGGGTTTTAGCTTCAGATGTGTCACCGTTACCTTTGTGAACTTGGGCATTTCATTTGCTCTCTCTGTGCCTCAGTTTCCTCATCTGAAAAAAAAGGGGGAGTGATTTAGTTAATTAGTACAACCCTTTCACAAGCCATTCCGTAATAATATCAAGAAACATAAAACTATTCTTAACTTTTGACCCAGCAATTCCACTTTGGGAAATCTTGCCCAAGACAATAATCTAACATTTGGAAAACAGTTACAAACATAAATTTATCAATATCCAAAAGTAAAACAATCTAAATATTCAGCAATGAGTGAACAGTTAAATAATCAGGAGCTCATATGCTTACTGGGAATGTTATGCAGTCATTAAAAATGTCTGTTATTGGGGCGCCTGGGTGGCTCAGTCGTTAAGCGTCTGCCTTTGGCTCAGATCATGATCCCAGGGTTCTGGGATCAAGCCCTAAGTTGTCACTGGGCTCCCTGCTCAGCGGGGAGTCTTTTTCTCCCTCTCCCTCTGCCCCTTCCCCCAACTCATGCACTCTCTCTCTCTCTCTCTCTAGTAAATAATAAAATCTTTTCTAAAAGGGGGGGGCGCCTGGGTGGCTCAGGTGGTTGAGTGTCCATCTCTTGATTTCAGCTCAGGTTATGATCTCAGGATCGTGGGATCCAGCCCTGAGTAGGACTCTGCCTGGGCATGGAACCTGCTTGAGAGTCCCTCTCTCCCTCTGCCCCTCTCTGCTCACACTCTCTCTCAAAGAAAAAAAAAGTTAATAAAAATATCCATTATGAAGATGACATAGCAACATGCTTATTAAGTGAACAAAAAGAAACTTGTTCACATACTATGGTTATCACTGTATAAAGAAAATCATATGCAGGAAACACACCAAAATACCACCAGATGACAAGAGCAAAGATTTCTTTATTTGTACTTTCCAAAATTTCTCTAATATAGCTATATTACATTTAGAATGAAAAAACTTCTAAATAAAGAGATTCAACTAAATAACCTCCAAGATTCCCTCTGGCTCTAGCACTCTGTGGCTTTCCTCTGGAACTACAAGTAGAGGTCAGCTGAGAGTAAAATATTAGAAAAGTTTAGATGGCAGGGGCTATGTGTGCCTGTTTGAATTATTTTAATAGCACTCAAAACAGCACATGAGAACATTTGGAAACTAGCACTTGGGAAAATGATGCAAGACCTTCCATCTGTGTGGCAGAAAGGGCACAAGTCTGGGAAAGAGCCCTGGATTGAACCAGATGATCTCTAAGGGCCCTCTCCAGACAATCTCTTCATTTGCTTATTGAACAATCATTTACCAAGTGCCTACCATGTGTCAGCTGTATGTAGTTGAATGACTATTGAGCCATCTGTGGGAGAAAGATTTTTAGTTTCCTAGGGCAGACCTAACAAAATAGCACAGAATGGGGGGCTTAAACAACAGAAATTTATTTTCTCACATCTCTGGTATCCCTTTGCCCAAATCTCTTTTTTTTTTTTTTTTAATTTATTTATCTCAGAGAGAATGGGAGACAGAGAGCATGAAAGGGGGAGGATCAGAGGGAGAAGCAGACTCCCCGCTGAGCAGGGAGCCCGATGCGGGACTCGATCCCGGGACTCCAGGATCATGACCTGAGCCGAAGGCAGTCGCTTAACCAACTGAGCCACCCAGGCGCCCCACCCAAATCTCTTCTTATAAAGACTCTAGTCGGACTGAATCAGGACCCACCATAACGACCTCATCTTAATTCAAACTCATTTTAACTCAGTCAACTCTTTAAAGGCCCTATCTTCAAATACAGTCATTCTGGGGATTAGGGCTTCATCATGAATTTGGGGGGACACAATTCAGTCCACAATAGATTTCAAACAACAAACTATACATATAACTGTGCATTAAGAGAGCTGCCTTCAAATACAGTGGAGAACCATGTGAAGGCATAATTAATTTTTACAGGAAATATCATAAACTACTATACAAAGGAAGCATCATCTGGGCCCACTTCTAGCTCCAGAGTCTCAAGTCTATCAACCATCATCCTTGATTGTCATAGAAATATTTTAGGTATCACAAAATGGGAATAAGACAGCATCAGGTAATAAGACAGACTTGACTAGAGGCCAAAAGAGGAATGGATTTGTTCCGGAGGCACAAAGGTAAATACCATCCTCTTATAGTTGAACTGGGATTACGGATTCAAATACAGGAACTTGAAGGTCAGGTGAAGATCCTGACTAGTTTATGGAATAATCTGCTCCTTGTTCTCATTCCTTAAGTCATGAGAATTTTAATGTGTGCTGGGGCTAGGGGGTATTGTCAAGTCTTTTTTTTTTTTTCCTAAAAATTTATTTATATATTTGAGAGAGAAAGGGAGTGAGAGCAGGAGAAGGGTGGGAGGGGCAGAGGGAGAGAGAGAGAGAAACCCAAGCAGACTCCACATGGAGCACAGAGCCCGACATGGGGCTCGATGCAGGGCTTAATCCCACGACCCTGAGATCATGACCCTGAGATCATGACCTCAGCTAAAACCAAGGGTCAGATGCTCAACCAACTGAGCCACCCAGGTGTCCCCATCAGGTCTTGATTTATGCCCACTTTTTGTCCTTTTTTCCATCTAGAAGCCATTCTTTTTCCACCTACCTCCAGCTAAGCTCTTCTCTAAGCCAGATTTTAAACCTCAATTCCCTATCCATTTAAAATACTCCTCTCTTGAAGTACCCTAGATCCCTGAATAAAAAAGGAAGTTAGGGATGTCTGGGTGGCTCAGTCAGTTAAGTGTCTGCCTTCGGCTCACGTCCTGGTCTCGGGGTCCTGGGATCAAGCCTGGCATCAGCATCAGGCTCCCAGCTCAGTGGGGAGCCTGCTTCTCTCTCTCCTCTCCCTCTGCCACTGCCCCTGCTTGTGCTCTTTCTCTCTCTCAAATAAATAAATAAAATCTTTAAAAAAGAGAGAGAGAGAAAGGAAAAACCACCGATGCAGGTAGCACAATGCTGGGGTACCATTTCTGTTGGCCCCTTCCCTTTCTGGTGCCTGGCCATGACCTGTTTCCTTCCACCAGGGGTCGCCGGAGGCCATCGGGACGATCGCCAGGCTCCTAAGAGGTGGCTCCACGAAGGCGGCCAAGAATGTGAGTGCAAAGGTCAGTATCAACAATAGCACTGCACCATCACCAACCAACTCTCTCCTGAGTCCCATCCCTGCCTCCCACACACCAGTACAGATGTTTTCTGAGCTGACTTCACCCACTGCCCTCTCCTCCAGCCCACCACATGCAGCACCAACGCTTGTCTTCTTCCTGAGTCTCCGGCAAGAGCAGGACCCCTCCAAAGTCCAGGGGAGCTGGCTGAATCTCTGGCTGCCCCTTCCCCTTTACTCTTTTCCCCAATAACCCAGGGCTGCCTTACAAAAAATTCCTGGATCTTGTTTTTGACCTTTGTTTACCCATAAATAAGACTGAGATCGGAGAGGCAAAATGCTTGGCCTAGTTAAAGGAGCCAAAGGCAGCCGCCTCAATCTTTTCTTCATATTTTGGTCTCCTTAATGATATCCTGATGCCCCCTCCAAACCTGCCACCAAATTCTTGCCAATACAGGTCAGGCAAAACAACTCAGAAATCCTGGTGCTCATATAACTGGGTATCCCCACTGTTCTGTGTTGACCCCTTTCCCCACCTCCACTGCAGTCTGAAAAAGAAACTGGAAGGCAAGGAAGATGGCAAGTAAAGCCCTGCCCCACTCCCTATTCTCAAAGATATTAACCTTCCCCTCTTAGCACCAACCCTGTTATTTCAGACTGGTTCCTGAGAGCCCCTAAAAGAAAAATCATGACAGTGCCTGAGATGCCAAAGAAGCAGTGTCCCTGTGATCAGTTCAAGGCCAGGGTGAAGAAAACCAGTAAGTTTCAAATGAATGACCTTCCTTAAACCAGAGGCACTCTGTGGAATCAACTAGGGATGGAGCAGGGGTTGAGAATAGACAGGAGAAGTGAAATGAAGACCAAGATAAGCACACCTCTCAACACTTTCTACTCAATGTCAACTTGAGGAAATAAGACGAGCAAGGGAGGCGGATACAATTTTCCTAATATTAGAAAGGTTCGACCAAATTCTTAGATTTTAGAAGCCCATTGCTTATCAAAGTGGAGGGAGATGGGGCTATTGGGGACCCGGTCATTGATCTCTGAAGATGTCAAATAGAATTTGGTTCCGCCCTTGGGAAGTTTTTAAATGTCATATAAAAAGTAAACTGGCAAATTAAACTGATTCAAACGATGATATTATGAAGAATGAGATAAATCAAGATCCTTATCACTGCTGGTAGAAGTAAAATACAATTTGGTAGTACCTATCAAAAATTTATTTATTTATTTTTAAGTATTTTATTTTGGGGGGCACCTGGGTGGCTCAGTTGGTTAAGCATCCAGCTCTGAGGAATGAGGAGTGAAGAATATATTTTCTTTATTTTAATTTTTTAAATTTTTTAAATTTTATTTTTTTCCATTGGATGAGTCTCACTTTTATATCATCTTGAAAGCTTTCATAAAAATTAAACTTTTAAAACGTTTTTAACATTAATCTTTATTTTCACCCTAGGGCACCAAAGGCACCACAGGAAGCCAAACAAGCACTCCAGAGTCTGCCAGGAATTTCTCAAACAATGTCAGCTAGCAAGCTTTGCTCTGCCATTATAGGACTTCTGAGGGCTCACTCTCCCAATGAAATATTCTCAGTCAAGATGATAGTGAGCACCCCTAGAGGATGTTCTTCTCTCACTTCCAGCTCACCCTCCCTAACTCCTCTCCAGTGTTCTCACAAAGCATTTTCCCCAAGATTATTGCTCCCTCTGGTGCCCTCTTCTCTTGTCAGTCTTTTCCTGTGCCCCCCTGTCCCCTTTTCCGGGCTTAAGCTTAATTACCTGAAAGAAACCTGGAAACCCTGGTTTCTTAACTGGTCCCAAATGACCTTAAATATAACCAGGCAAGTAGCAAACAGAAGTCAATAAATATTTTTAAATGTAATAAGTCAAAATCATTTCTTTCAAATGGGGTTTGGCAACTCATTCAATCCCCACTTTAGCCTGTTTACTGCAAATTCTACCCAGATTCTACACACACTTCTCCCCGCTACCAGCCTCACTCTTCCTCTCCACTGCCCAATTTTTTATTCTTTTACCCATTTAACAAACCTTTTTGAGGTAAGAGCTAAGTGGCGCAAAGAAAGCAGGTATAGCAACGAATCTGACATGATCTTACTAAAGACAATATAGATTAAAGAAAAACAAAAAAACCCTGGCACAGTCTCCCAACACATAAAATGCCTTCAATATTTATGATTCTTCTTATCATCATCATCATTAACGGTCGTTGCACTCTGTGAGTTTCCAATCTAGTACAGAAAACACATATTCATGGGCATCTGGGTGGCTCAGTCGTTAAGCGTCTGCCTTCGGCTCAGGTCATGATCCCAGGGTCCTGGGATCGAGCCCCACATCAGGCTCCCTGCACCGCGGGGAAGCCTGCTTCTCCCTCTCCTACTCCCCCTTCTTGTGTTTCCTCTCTCACTGTGTCTCTCTCTGTCAAATAAATAAATAAAATCTTTAAAAAAAAAAAAAAAGAAAAGGAAACACATATTCACAACCACAGTTCAAGGCTAGAGAGATGGTGTGGAAGATCTCAAATGCCATTGAAAAGGGCTTCAAGCTGTAAGAATGGGAGGGTGTCATTTTTTAAACATGGAAATAAAATTATCAAAACAAAAATATAAGGATATTAAACTGGCAGCCATTTGAAAGAATGAATAAAGAGGAAAAGATTATTACAACAGTATAAAGACTGCCTCCCCCCCCGACCCTTTCCTGAAATGTCAGAAGGGGAGGGGGGAAAAAAAAGGAACACTCATCCAGTATCTGACTTCTGTCATCCCAGATGAAACAAAGGACTAAATTAGGTTGCTTGCCTTAAGAGAAAAAACACTTTAACTGAGTGGTAAGTGGGGTGGGGTCCTATTTATGACACAAGAGGGCAAGCCCCTCCCCTCTGGTAGGAGAGTTGCTGGGCACACAGCCTCCTCCCGTTCCTAATCCCTCCTCCCACAGCAGGAGGCACAGAAGTGCATCACTTGGCACAGGAGTGGAGGTCAGCAGTGCCACTTGCAGCTGCCTTAAAAAGGAAGACCAGGAACGCCAGGATGAAGGAGTGGAATCCAAAGGGAGGTGCCATTATGAGGAATCAATGAGGGATCCGTGACAAAAAAGGCCTTGAGGGCCCGGAAGGATGAAACCTGGGAGAGCAACACCTCCCGAGAGGGAAGTAACAACAGTGGAGCCAGGTTCTAAGTCAGTATCTAGGCCTGACTTGGAACCTAAGCCATCCCAGACACTTATCACTCAGCCAGAGCCTGGGCCAAAAGTGACAGCCACAGCCCAGCCAGCATCTAAGACTCATCAGGGACCCAATACTCAGCAGGAGCCCGATCCACAGCAAAGACCCTTCACTCAGCAGGAGCCCCTTGCCCAACATGAAGCTGAATCCCAGCAGGAACCTAGCACCCAACAAAATTCAGGTTTGCAGCAGGAATTTCTTGCCCCGCAGGAGCCTGCACCACAGCAATCACCTCCCGTGCACCGGGTGCCCTCCTCTCAACAGGAAGCCGCCTCCCAGCAGGGACCCAGGCCAGGAAAAGAATGTGAAACTCAACAGGAGCCAGAATTGAGAGAGGCACATGTTGCCCAGCCAGGACCCGGCCCAGTGCAGCAACCTCCAGATCAACAAGAAGCTGGATTAACACCTCCAGCCCAGCCTAGACCGGGACCCAAAAATGGATCACCTGCCCAGACTGAATCTATATCCCACAAGAGACTGAGACAGTCAGACCCTATAGCCCAGCAAAGAGTTCCAGCCCGAGGAGCCAAATCCCAGCTGAGATCTTCGACTGAGTGGGGATTTCTCTCAAAACTACACCAAGTATCCACACAGCGACGAGCCTCAGAGTGGAGGACGTTTTATGAGTGGGTCACAGATTCGGACTCAGAACCAGATGTGGGGTCTCCATTAAAGAGCAATTCATCACCCAAGAGGGGTGGAACAGTGGCCCAGGGAAAGAAGCTGGCCTTCAAGGGGAAACATGAAGTGGCATCAGGGTATGGGGGGACATCAGCCCATGGGAAGAAAACTGGCAGCCAGAATCACAGACACTACAGGGATATAGGTGAGTTTGAGGTGGGAGGAAATGAGCCGCCCAGAGACGGTCATTCATTCAGTCAAGAGGAACTAAGGCCTGCCAGTGTGTCAGGTTGGCTCTGGGGATCCCTCACCAGTCCTTCCAAAGATCAGCAGCCCCATTTGATAGATGAGGAGGCTGAGGCCTGGAGACGTAAAGGCCTTGCAGGAGGCAGGGCTGATATCGGGAGTGGCAGAGCCAGGCTGTGACTTCTTCCCTGCACCAGGCTGCCTCCCCACGGAGGATTTGGGGCAAATCAGAGAGAAGTGGGACAGGGCTCTGAGCTTCGGGCCAGGAAAGAGAGTAGCTCCCACCACCCCCCAACCCCCGCCAGTATTCACCCATCGGTCCCCAAACTCACAGCCCCGGGGCACCCTCTGCCTTAGGCACCAGCCACCTGGTGCTACACGTAAACCCTTACCCTCACGCCGTTTCCATCCCCACCAGGTGGAAAGTCGGGCCTCGGGGATCCTTGAGCTCTCCAGGTCGCCCCGGGCGGGCAGGGAGGCACCTGCTCCCCTGCCAGGCCGCCTCCAGTCCAGCCAGGCTCGGTGGCCTGGGGCTTGTGTTCTCAGGAAGGGTGGCGTGGGAGAGGGGCTGCGGGGTCTGCCGAAGTCTCGGGCAAGGTTGAGGCTGGACGAAGGGAGAGTTGCGGGGAGCAGTATGGGAGCGGGCCGGGCCCGGGACTCCGCTAAGCCGCCAGCGCTGCTTCCCCCTCTGACGCAGGCCATGGTGCCGCCGGGGGGGGGCAGGCTCCAGCTCCACCGCGCTCAGGCAGAAGGGGGCACGCAAAGTCTCGTCCGTGGAATGAGCGGTTAGTTGTTGAAGCAGCGCGAGGGGAGCCAAGGCAGCCCTGGTCCAGAAGCTGAGGGGCTCCGGCACGGCCGCGTCGTCCGAAGGGCCGGCAATGGTGGCCTCCGCTGAGAGGCCGGTCCCTCCCGGAAGAGCTGGGCCGTCTCTCTCAGGGCTCTGAAGAGAGTAATGATGTCTCTCAGGACCAGGGCTGCTCGTGTGCTTCAGGAGGGAAGGGAGGGGGGTCAGGATGGAAAGGGAGGGTTTGAGGTCTGTTTTTTCTGGCGCTGAGGATGAAGAGCTGTTTCTGCAGGCTCCGGAACCCAGTCTCAAGGGACGCGCTCCACACACCAACGAGGTAGCCTCTCCTCCGACGCCCCGTCCGCAGTTGACTGTGTGCGCATGCGCGAGCCTCGAGCCTCTTCCGTTTCCCGCCTTTTCCCGGGCACGCGCCAGGCCCTCTACCGTCGCTCTCGACGGGCCGATCCGCGGCTTCGGGCTAGCGCGCAGGCGCCGAGCATTCTCCTTCCCCCGCCCTTCCATTCTCTGGGAGAGGGAGAAGGCAGAGAAAAGAATCCCGAGAAAGACAGCAGTAGGACAAATAAGGCAGGAAGAAGGCGGGGCTTCCTTCCCCAACGGCTCGCAGGCAGAGCCACGCCTCCAGTGCTGTCGCCCCGCCCCGGCTTTGAATTGCCGGTGGACCTGGCCCACCCCGCCCCCGCCCCCCCCCCGCGAGGCGGAGGCTCAGAGGCGCCCCGCTTTACCCTTCCAGCAGGCGGGCCGGGTCGCGTTCTAGGGGATCCCTACTTGGGAAGGTAAGTGGGAAAGCAAGGCTGAGAGCCCGCATGTGAAAAGATCGAGGCTTCCCTTCTGGGGTGAGCCCCGCGGGACTCCCCACTAGTCCTGCCCGAAGGACACTTCTCGCCGCCTCCAGGGCTGCATTTTCGTTGGTCACGGGCCCTTTAAAGTGTGTGAGGGGGCGGGGCCAGGCTTTAGGCCCCCTGGGTTTGAGGGCGGGACCCGGCAGTGGAGTGAGGCCCGGATTGGTCAGAGGGCGGGACCCAGAGAGGAGCAAGCCCAGGATTGGGTGGCATGGGGGCCCGGTGGTGGTGTGCGGCGAGGATTGGCTCTCCCGGCGGGGCCTGGCGGCTGGAATCGGCCCCCGCGTGGGGACCGCGGAGAGCTGATGGAGTCTGGCCGGGGAAGCGGGGCAGCCAGGGCCGATGGGGCCCTGGGCTCGAAGAGGGCCAAAGAGGGGTCCAAGACTCGTAGCCGCCGGCGGTGGCGAAAAAGCAAAACCAAAGGTGAGCGCGCGGGGGCCGGCAGCAGAACGGAAGGAACCTTCGACATCCTGCGGGGAACTGGGGACTGAGTGGACGGACCCACTGCCCCGAGAAGTGGGGGAGCCCGTGGGCTGGCCCACTGCCGCCCTGCGAGGGGATGCGGGGATGATCCATTGGGAGAATGGGTGATGTGAGAGTGGAATATGACCCTCAGCATAGAGACTACCGGACGCCCCAGTAGCGACTTGGGAAGAGTGTCAGAATGCGAGTCTCCAAGACTAGGGTTCCCGGTCCGGCTCCGTACTCGCTGTGTGACCGTGGGGCAATTCCTGGCTTCAGTGTTTCCTACCAGGGAAATGGTTCAAGCGCCGGTTTTCAGGGCCCCAGCACTCATGAGAGGATAATGGAGAGGTTTAGAAGCTGTTGCTCAAAGAGGAAGTTTCGAGGGCATTCACTGTCAGGAAAAGGTAGGAGGAAGGGGTGCCTCGTCTTGGGAAATGCCCCAGGGCCAGTATGGCTCAAAACAGTCCATCCTCCCATCCTTCATTCAACCCGTGCCTCCGGTTCCTTGTCAGGCCCCCTGCTTCAGCCCAGCACCACTGGGGCCTAACTTCCTGACCCCCGCTCTTTTTAGGACTAGGGAGCCCTGGATAGGCTTCAGACCACCACAACCTCCCTGGCACAAAGAAGGGAGGGCTGTCAACTGGGTTTCTAAGGAGCCACATTATTTACAGATCTCAGCAAGCTGGAGAAAGACTGACAGACCACCAGACATGTTGCAAGCCTCAGGCAGGACCACACATTAAGTTCTTGCTAGGTGATGAGTATTTGTGAAGCCAAGTGAGGACCTATGGGAAGTTCCTTCCTGTGAAGAAACTGATGTAGCCCCCAGGCCCTAGAGACCCCAAGCCCATTGTTCTCTCTGCCTTAGGCAACATCATTCGCCAAAGACCGAACTGGAGTTGGCTACACACAGGCCCACGCACACTCGCACACACGCACACGTGCAGACTCAGACAGGCTCGGAGCTCAGGCTGGGACCTGAGGGCATTCACTGTCATACTCCCAGACACAGCGTCACAAGCAGGACAGTGTGCCCAGAGGCAGTACAGACCAAAGTTAAAAACGTGGGCGTTGGTGGCCTGGTTCCTGGGGTCATAAACCGTGGTACACTGAGCAACAGGCTTCTATCCCTGTCTGAACTTTCTGAGCTGTAAAATGGGCACAGTGATAGGACTCCCTGACTCGTAGGGCCGTTGTGAGGTTTGAATGAGTCTAGCACATTGGACACTGGCACACAGCAAGCCTGCCTGAGGGATGGAGGTTCTCATTACTGGTACTCCCCATTAGGCAGTGAGTTCCCTAAGAAGGGGCCCGTGTCTGCCTTGTTTACCGCACATTTTCATAGCCTGAGATGCCAGGCACAGAGGCACTCAGATATTTATTGAATTAGTAAGTGAAGGAATGTACAAACTGTAACACTGGGATAATAATAATCGTGCTGCCCTTAGGCTTGTCGTGAGGAGTCAGAAGCCTCTTGGGTCGGGTGCCTTGCACAAGGCTGAGCCGTCCCACCCACAAACCCAAGGGCCCACCTACTCACAAAGGCTCATTCCACTCAACCCTAAGATCCACCTGTCATTTCCTGAGGCTCTGCCCTGGTGCTACGCCTCATTAGGGTGAATCAGACCCTGCCCCTGCCCCTGCCCCGAGGACATCCAGGCTGGCTGGAGCAGTCCTAGTCATCAGGTTGATCTTGCCTGGAACTAATGACTCTAGTGTCATTGTGATCACCCCATTTCTGAGATGCTGACACTGAGGCTCTGAGGGAGCAAGGTCACCTGGGCTTCCTTACCTGGCCGGTGAGGGTAGGGGTGTGTGAACTCAAACCTGCTCTGTGCCCCGCCACCCCGCCTTGATTATGGGCCCAGAAAGCTCCAGTCTCACAGATTCGTTCAGCAGACATTCACTGAGCATTTACTTGTGTCAGGCCTGGACTCTTAGTGGTGAGGACAGACTCACATTTGAGCTGGGGACACAGATATCAATCAAATAATCCCACAAATCAGATATAATTGTAAACTGGCAAATACAAGAGGGAAAGTCCGGAGAAAATGTAAGAGGAGGCTTCCCAGGAAGGTGACATTGGACCCAGGGATGAGCAAGTGCTGACTGCTGGGCAAGGGGGGCAGGGAGGCGAAGGGAACAGCTCAGGCAGAGACCTTGAGGCCCAAGGAAGTGGCTCATTACAGCACAGAGGGAGCTCAGCAAGGGAGGGGAGGAGTAGGGGGCTCGGGGGGGCAGGGGGACCAGATAGCACCTGGTTTGGCAGGCCACGTCCAGGATTGGGGGCTTTATCCTGAGAGCAAGGGTGGGGGGTGTTGCAGGGTTAGGAGTGTGTGACCAGACTGAAGTTCTAGAAAAATCCTCTGGCTGCTATGTGGAAAAGACGTTGAAGGGGGCAAAATCAGAGACACATAAAGATTTATTACAATCCTCTAGATGAGGGGTCAGTGGAAGTGGGAGAAGGGCCAGATTCCAGAGGTTCCTGTGGGGGCAGGCAGAGTGGACAGAACTTTGTGATGCATTGGATGAGAGTAAGAAGTGGCCACACACACACACACACACCCGGGGGGCACACAGATAATGAGTGTATACGTCCATACACACACAAACACCTGCCCGTGCAATCTCACGGGCCAAGAAGAACACAGACACGGATACAGTCACATACATACACACATGCCCTCAGACACACGGAGAAACGTACAAACGCACAGACTGGGGAAAAAATGTCACCCACCCACAGACACAGGCCAGGCAAACACTAGGCATGACGTGTACCCACATACATATGTACATCTGTGTGTGAGCCTCCAAGACACTCACACCTGACCACCCAGAAAGCGGGCAGCTGAGACCTGATGGAGAGAAGGAGCTCCCCCCCACACACACTGCAGAAACTCTGCAGAGACCGGCTGAGCCATCCTAGCGGGTCCTGTGACTGTGGGCGGCCCCGTCTTCCTCGGCATCTTGCTTCTCTCCACTGCCAAAAGGGGTGGTGATGGTCCCAAGCCCCTGGGCTGTGGAGAGAACGAAATGAGTTACAGTGCCTGGCACGCATCTACACTGCAGGCCTCTCCCCTTCGGAAGCCCTTGCCCCTCCCAGGCCTCAGAGCTGGTCCTTGCTCCTCCATCCTCCCTGAGCTTGCTTCCCTTCTCACCCCTGCTCAGTCCCCAGGGGCCAGAATCCGGGCTGGGTCTGGCCGTCCTGTGGCTCTTTAGGGCAAAGGGCTGGCGCCAGGCAGCAGAACCCCCCTGGGTCCCACCTCTATCCCAGTTGTTGCTTATGGGCCTTGGGCGCCTCCCTCTGCCCCAGTGCCCTGTGCCTGAGATTCTTGGCAAGTTTCTGGGCAACCTCAATATCCCTTCCTCCCAGCTCCACCCAGCTCAGCCCCCAGGGAGCTGCCTAGAACAGGGCGAAGAGCAGGGCCCTGGAATCATGAAAGCCTGGGATTCAGCCTCTTCCTCACCGCCGCCTATCCAGGCTCACCTGGCCACCAAGCCTTAGTGCTGCCTCCAGAGGCCTCTGTCTGTTCATCTGTTTGTTTGCCCTGGGGAGGGGTGGTTCTCTCCCAAGCTCCCATTCACCTGATTCTGCCCCCACTTTGACTCTTCATGCTTTCTTTCTGTCTTCAAATATTTGCTAAGTACCTATTATGTGCCAGACCCCATGATGAGCCCTGGGGCCACCCCCCTGCCTGAGGGGGCATGATAATCAAAGAGGAGAAACGGGGGTGCTTAGGTGGTGCAGTTGGTTAAGTGTCTGACTCTGGGTTTTGGCTCAGGTCGTGATCTCAGGGTCATGAGATCAAGCCCCGCCTCAGGCTCCCCGCTCAGCAGGGAGTCTGATGGAGATTCACTCTCCCTCTCCCTCTTACTTCCCGCTCGTGCTCTCTCTCAAATAAATAAATAAATCTTGGGAAAAAAAAAAATAGGGAGGAGAGACAGAGGATTCACCTACAGCCAAGCAAATGACCTTAGGGCCTCTCATTCGTGCAGACCCCTTCCAAAGCCCTGTCCCTAAGTTTGTATTTGTGATTTTATGTCCCTTTTCCTAAAGAGCTCCACCTCTACACATACCAGCTTCACAGCTCCGTGAAGTCTGGTTCTGTCCCTGGGGGGAGACAGACAACAAACCTATAAATGAACGTGTCGAATTGCAAGTGTGTAAAAATCTAGGAAGAAACGCGAGTCTGATGGCAGAAAGTAATGATAGGGGTGTGTGTCTTAGGTGGGGAGGAGTAGTTAGGGAGGGCCAAGGCCTGAAGGGTGAGAAACAGCTGGCCAGGTAAGGAGCACATGGAATAACAGAGGTAAAGTGTTTCCGGAGCCTCAGTGTCCCGTATGTGAGGCGGGGATGGCAGTCACAGCAGGATGGCCTGTGAAGGGCAAGTGGCAGGTGCCCAGTATGGGAACACCACACAGTAGGACGTGTGTGGCTCAGAAGCCCTAGCTGAACTTGGCACCACCCTTAATCGGCTTTTGTGCCCTCGGGAGGGACAGGCAGGGCTGGCTACCCTCTCTCCCCCCCACCCCCAATAGCTGGGGCCGGCTGTGCCAGGGCCAGCCTGGGGGACAGGAGCTGAGATCACGGGGCCTTTGCTCTCTGAGCTCCACCCTGGGGAGAGGGAGGGCAGCGGGGCTGGGTGAGAAGAAACACTTTGTTCCTCACTGAGGCTAAGACTCCTGGCTCCTAAGAGAGAAGAGGCTTGGCAAGCTAGGTACCTCAGTTTCTAATTATTGAGGGGGTTGAGTGTCTGCACTCCTGGACCCAAGCAAGGAAGGCGCTGGGGCCCTGGACTCCGGGGTTCTAAGGCAGAGGAGCCTGGGACAAGGACTTGCATTTGAGCGGGGGCCGGACCGGCAGAGGGCGCGGGGAGTTGGACTCCCTGCTGTGTTTACAGCACGTGGGTTCCCTGGCCTTTCTGGGTGCGAGGTGGGGCCTGTGGCCACACCCTGGGCAAGCTCTGCCCCTCCCCGCCGGTTTATGGCCCCAGGCTTCTGCTGGCACTCGCCACACTCAGCCCTAGCCCAGCCCGCAGCTCAGCGTGGGGGAGCTCAGAAGAGGTCTGGGAGGGGTGAGTGCACTGTCTGCTAAGACACAGGAACGGGGCGCGCTTTAAAACTCCAGGTCCTGGAAGGGAGGGGAGACACCTTCTGGGGGATGAGGCAGAAGCCAGGCAAGGTCCTGAGTGGGCTTCAGGAGAGAAGAGTCTCCAGAGCAGAGGGCACCGTCTCCAAGGGGGGACAACAGTAGCTTGTCCAGGGCCTGGGTGACAGTACAAGGACCCCGGAGGGAAGATCACCAGGGACCCTGAATTGTGGGGAGTCGGGCCTTGTCCAGGGCAGGTTTTTGAGGGCCATAGCTAGAGACCCAGCTTCCAGAGCCCTGGGAGGGAGATGAGCGTTTAAGCAATGGCTCTCGACCCAGAGATCTGGGTTTGAATTCTGCACGGCCACTTTTGATGCAAGCTTCAGCTCCTTTCTGAACACCTCTGAGCCTCAGTTTCTCCTGTAAAATGGGGATGGTACCGATAACAGTTGAAACGTAAATGGAGGCAGTCGGCTTCTTGGGGTGAGCAAGCACTAACTGAGAAAGTTCTTAGCGTGGGTGTGGCACAGAGCGAGCTCAAGGCTAACAGCAGAGATGAAGGCAGCTGTTCCAGGCAGGGGAGTGGGGCTGGCCCGTGCGGTCTAAGCCAAGTGGAGAGGCCCGAAGGCCGGGGGACCCAGCTGGGGAGCAGTGGGACCGACTTGTGGGGGATCCCACAGAGGAACAGGGAGGCAGCTGGAGCTTGGAGGGGGTTCCACAGCCAGATCCGAGGGACCAGGAGGGGGCAGGATTGACTCCTCAGTTTGAAGTAAGGCTAGGATTATGAACTGGGTTCCGGAAGAGAACTGGGCTTGAGACCAGGATCCTGGGACACCACCAGGTAGATGGGAATGCGTGGGCTGAGGGCTGAGCTCTCCAAAATACTGGGGGAGGGGAGGGGCCTGTGGGTGACGCCTGGGGCCTTGAGAAGGAGGTGAGATGGGGGCCTGAACCCCTGGGTCCTGAGCGAGGGGGGACCTAGTTGGGATCCACACCTCTCAGAGAACCTCAGCATCCTGGGCCCCAGGAGAGCCAAGTGGAGACGGCTACCTGAATTCTTGGGTCCCTGGAAGGAAGCAGAGGGGTGGATAGACTCCGGGGTTGTAGGAGAGGCGTGGAGCTAGGAAACCAAGAAGAGTCCCACGTAGGAGACAGCACGGCGAAGAGGAGTCTGGGGCCTGGACTCCTGGGTCTGAAAAAGGAAGGGGATGGGGCCCTAGACGCCACCCTTGGTCCAACCCTGCCTGATGGGGGCTCCCCACTCGCCCGCAGCCTCGCGGCTCACACACAGCATGGACCTGCACACGATGACACAGTCGCTGGTGACTCTGGCGGAAGACAACATGGCCTTCTTCTCGAGCCAGGGCCCCGGGGAGACAGCACGACGGCTGTCGGGCGTCTTCGCGGGGGTTCGGGAGCAGGCGCTGGGGCTGGAGCCGGCCCTGTGCCGCCTGCTGAGCGTGGCGCACCTCTTCGACCTGGACGCCGAGACGCCGGCCAACGGGTACCGCAGCCTGGTGCACACAGCCCGCTGCTGCCTGGCGCACCTGCTGCACAAGTCCCGCTACGTGGCCTCCAACCGCCGGAGCATCTTCTTCCGCACCAGCCACAACCTGGCGGAACTCGAGGCCTACCTGGCCGCCCTCACCCAGCTCCGTGCCCTAGCCTACTATGCCCAGCACCTGCTGGCCACCAACCAGCCCGGGGGGCTCTTCTTCGACGGCGACGAGGGGCTCATTGTTGAGTTCCTGCGCGAGTACGTCACTCTGCACAAAGGCTGCTTCTACGGCCGCTGTCTGGGCTTCCAGGTGAGCCCCCCACCCCGCTCCTCCGGACCCACCGTGAAGGGGCTGGGTGGCCCCCCACCTGGCCCGACAGCATGGTAGGATTACCGCAGTGGTATCCCTGAGCTCCGGGGACGGTAGATTCAGAAAGGGGAAGCCGTCTAGGGCTTAGGCGGCTGCATGGGTTGGGGGGGGTCTCAAACTTGTGGCCCCTGGGTCAGTTCCACCGTGTAGTAAGACATCGTTAACTTGCATGGCTCTTTGCGCCAGGATCCCCACACTCAGAGATTTGTCCACTCTTTGCGGTGACCTGTCTGTCCTCTGAAATCATTTGAGACCCCTCAGGAGGGTGGTTAGTACTGTTCTCAAAGGCCTCTTTATAAGAGCACACCCCATTTAGTCACACCCCGCCCCCCGAAGGCATGGGCAGGAGGGAGGGGCCTAGCTCCATTTTAGAGGCTCAAGGGGCTCTGGTCACAGCTGCTCCACGGGACCCTGGTCGGCCTGGGCTTTCTGGCTCACCTCTGGAGCTCTCACTTGACTCAGGATTTTCCGGCCATGGGGAAGGCCAAGGAGCACTTCCGAGTTGGTGACCATGAGGGAGACCTGGTGGTGGCCCCACCCCAGCCACCCGCAGAGGGGTACCGTTCACCTTAACACTGAGAGGAAAGTAGCCTGGGAGCCTTTGGACTCAGAGCAAAAGTAATTTGGGGGCTCAGAATTGGGGAGGGGGGAGGGGGTCCTGGGGACTCAGAGCAGAGGCCCAACGTGCTCCTGTGTGAGGTCAGTGCTGGGTCCCCCGGGCCCCAGCCACATCGGGGAACCCCCCCGCAGGAGTATCTGGAGCTGCGTGACTCTGCAGCCCCCCAGATTCTCTCCGGGCCCGCCCCACCCCCACCCCAGGTGGGCTTGGCAGTCTCTCAGCCTTCCTTCCCCGCTTCCCCACAGAGCAGCCTGGGTGTTCCTGGGAACTTCCCTTCACCTAAGCTGACCCCCCATAAATATTGATCAGCCCAGCTGGGCCAACTGGCTCCTCCCTGTGTCCCGGCCACGACCTTGGAGTCCCCGGAGAGTGATCCTGTGGCCACCCAAGCCAGCATTCCAGGCAAAATGGCCAGGCACCGCTGTGCTCTCTGGCCCACTGGGCCCCTGGCCAGGGGCAAGGTCATGCCTGACAGCTCTTCTCTGAGGGCCCAGCTGCTATGCTATATCGCCTGTAAAATGTCAGCCCCCACAGGGCAGAAGCCTCCCGTATGGGGCTCTAGCTCAGCACCCGGTCTCCCCTGCCCCCGCCCCCTGCCCCCGCGCCTAGTACCTAGCACACAATAGGGTGTAGGCCTGTATTTGTTGAATGAACAAAAGAACCCTGCTGGCCCCCTGCCCAGCTTCCTATGGCTTTTTTTCTCTGATCTTGTCTCCCCATTGTCTTTTCTTAGCGCCTGGCTCCTCCCTCAGATGCTGTCTCCCCATTTGGCTGCCTTTCTGCCGCAAGATCTCTGGCCCTGTCTGTCTCTGACCATCTCCTGTCTGTCTTCCCGCCGCCCAGGAACTGGTCCCCGTCCGCCTGGCCTCATCTCTGTCCTCGCTGACTTTCAGGAAATCCCTGCATCACCTTACTCCCAGCCCTCTATGGCTCCACCCACGTCTGGAACACATCCACATTCCTCAGGCCCTCCATGAGCGCCCTCTGCTTCTCTGGCCTTGGCCGCCACCCCTCTCCCCTCATTCACTCTGCTCCAGCCGCACAGGTTACCCCTGCCAAGCACAGGCTGCCTCAGAGCCTTTGCACTTGCCACGGCCTCTGCAGGGAGCACCCTTCCCTCGCTTCCTCTGGATCGCTCCTCCTCCAGCGCCCTCCCGGATACCCATCTAAGTAGCCTGACCCCCAGTCGTCAGTCTGTGTCCCCTCCACCTACTGTTTTTTCAAATTTTCAAAGCATTGGTCATGAAGCATTCCTTAACATCGAACATATGCCTTTATTTGCTTCCTGTCCCCTAGAGCAGTGCCTGGCACACAGTAGGAGCTCACTAAATGTTTGCTGGATGACCACGTCTCTCCCCAAACCCCGTCTCTGCCCCTCACTCGTGCCCGCCTCCAGTCCCTCCTGGGCAGCGGGTGACCCAGCGGCATCTCTCCACAGTTCACGCCCGCCATCCGGCCGTTCCTGCAGACCATCTCCATCGGGCTGGTGTCCTTCGGAGAGCACTACAAGCGCAATGAAACAGGCCTTGGTGAGTCCCGGCCAGACCCTGCCTGCAGCCTCGCCTCCCTTCCTGTCCCTCCTCCTCCTTCCACCCCCCCGACTCCCGCTGGGCCCCCTGACACCCCTGCCGACCCCCAGGTGTGGCCGCCAGTTCGCTCTTCACAAGCGGCCGCTTCGCCATCGACCCAGAGCTGCGTGGCACGGAGTTTGAGCGGATCATACAGAACCTAGATGTGCACTTCTGGAAAGCCTTCTGGAATATCACCGAGATTGAGGTGCTATCGGTGAGAAGGGGGCCTCATGAAGGCCCCACCAATGTTACAGGATGGGCACACTGGGGCCCAGAGACCCATCCCAGGCCACATCAGGCCTCGGCGGGGCTCCAGGCCTGGGACAGCGCGTGATGGTAAAGAGGGTGGGGATTGGAGAGGAGGCACGAGGGGCCGCAAGCAGCTCCTCCCCAGCGCCCCTCCTGTTCCCTCCCACCAGTCTCTAGCAAACATGACATCAGCTACTGTGAGGGTAAGCCGCCTGCTCAGTCTGCCACCAGAGGCCTTTGAAATGCCGCTGACTGCTGACCCCAAGCTCACGGTCACCATCTCACCCCCTCTGGCCCACTCGGGCCCCGGGCCGGTCCTCGTCAGGCTCATCTCCTATGACCTGCGTGAAGGACAGGTAGGAGATACAGAGCCAAGGAGCACCAACAGCCCCCCTCCCCAGAGGCCCTCCCACCTCTCGCTGCTTACACCTGCCCCCGCCCCCCCGTCCTGTCTCTCTGAGCACATCCCTTTGGTGGGGTGAGGCCCAGGCAGGCCACCCCAGCCTCACCCACATCCTCCTCCCTCCCCCCCTCCCCAGGACAGTGAGTCGCTCAGCAGCCTGGTGAAGTCCGAGGGGCCCCGGAGCCTGGAGCTGCGGCCACGCCCCCAGCAGGCACCCCGCTCACAGTCCCTGGTGGTGCACATCCATGGCGGTGGCTTCGTGGCCCAGACCTCCAAATCCCATGAGCCCTACCTCAAGAGCTGGGCCCAGGAGCTGGGCGTCCCCATCCTCTCCATCGACTACTCCCTGGCCCCCGAGGCCCCCTTCCCCCGAGCGCTGGAGGAGTGCTTCTACGCTTACTGCTGGGCTGTCAAGCACTGTGCCCTCCTCGGTGAGCCCCCGCCCCTCACTGTCACCCACTCCCCAGTCCTGTCGCCACCCCGTGCCTTGCGGGGAGAGAGCTCAGGCCTCAGTCTTGCACCCCCTGCCTCCCTTGCCATCTCCTCCCGCCCAGCCCTCTGCCGCCTGTTCACCCCCTCCTGCCCCACTGCTCCCCAGACCTTCTGTCTCAACCACTTCCTCCTTCTGCTTTCTGCCCCCCAACTCTAGCCCTGACACCCCATCCCCCCACCTCTCTGTCCCCGAGGACCTCTTCTCTCCTCCTCCTGTTTCCCCACCCCCTGTCCTGCACTGCCAGCCTCCCGGCCCGCGCTCCAGGCCATTCTTCCAGCTCCTCTGACCTCCTGCTTCTGACCTCTCCAGATGCAGAGGGCAAGGTGCCGGCGTGCCCCACGGCACAGGGATGTGGCTCTTTTGTATGGTCAGCTGAACCCTGCCCTTCCATCTCCAGGCCTCGGCTGCCCCTCCCTCCCGAAACGGGCCCTGGTCTCCCCTTTCCCACCACCTGTCCCCCTTGTTTCTGACCTCCAGCCTCGCAAGCTTCCCAGAGCCTCCTGATGGCCACATCCTCAGTCTGCCTGGTCCCCGACCACTGTCCCCCAAGCCCCTGCCTCAGTTTACCGATCTCTAGGACTGCAGTGGGCTAGACCTTGGGGCTGGGGCCCCCATACCCCACCTCTGAGAGTCCAGTGCTCCTGGCTCAGCGCTTGAGCTCCTCCCTGCCAGGCTGACCAAGCCCCCTCCAACCCAGGCTCAACAGGGGAACGGATCTGCCTCGCAGGGGACAGCGCAGGCGGGAACCTCTGCTTCACCGTGTCCCTCCGGGCAGCAGCCTACGGGGTGCGGGTGCCAGATGGCATCATGGCAGCTTACCCGGCCACCATGCTACAATCTACCTCCTCGCCCTCCCGCCTCCTGAGCCTCATGGACCCCCTGCTGCCCCTCAGCGTGCTCACCAAGTGTGTCAGCGCTTATGCTGGTAAGGCTGCCACCCGCGGAGCTGGGCGCCTGGGCAGGGCTTGGGTGCTGGAGTCCTGCAGGGATGGGGGCTAGCGCCCAGTCCCCCGGGGCTCAGGAAGGGAAATCTGAGACTCCTGGTCCCCACTGAAGCCATCAGATATCCTTGGGTCCCCGGGGGCACAGAGGCCTGAAGTTCCAGGTGTTGAGACTGGGCCTCAGCCCTCCACACATACTCCACAGGTGGAGAGACAGAGGAGCACTCGGACTCGGACCAGAAGGCACTGGGCATGATGGGGCTGGTGCGGCGGGACACAGCCCTGCTCTTCCGAGACCTCCGCGTGGGCGCCTCCTCGTGGCTCCACTCCTTCCTGGACCTGAGTGGGCACAAGTCCCACACGAGCTCAGTGCCCACGGCAGGTGAGTGAAGCCCTCCCCTCACACACCCACTCGGGGTGGACAGCAGGGACAGCCGGATACACCGAAAGTCCTGGGGGGAGGCGAGTGGCTGTGTCCTCGGGTGCTCAGGGAAGCAGAGATCACATTCTGGCTCTAACCCCCTATTTGGCCCTGGGGACTACCACACAGCCTTGCTTTTCCACGACGCTCCACATCCTAGAATTTCCAGGACTTCTGGTCTGCCAGGTCATCTCAGAACTCCTAGGAACTACAGGGGGTAGCCTTCCAAACAGCCCATCCCAGAAAGGAACCCCAGGAAATAACTCAGAAGGCCTGCCCCATGTGTCAATTCTTGGTCCCAAGAATGCCACTCAAATCCCTTGATTTGAGTGGGGGGAGTCCAGCCCTCCTAGATTCTTCCCAGACTTGTAACAGAGACACCTGGGGGTAATGCCCCACTCCAGGGGCTGGCCTAGGAGCCTGGGCTCAGAGAGATCAGCAGACTGACTGCACAGACCTCGGTCAGTGGGAGAGATTCCCAGCCTCGGGTGGGTGGCAGGATCCTCACGCAGCCAAAAATCACTAACATCCAGGGATCTGTTTTTCCCCCCACAATTTTTTTTAACATTTTAATGATTTTGAAGTACAGCCAACCCATTTTGTATCTTCAGCATGCCAACAGTATTTTCTGAATAATAGTGCGTGTTCAAAAGAAGACAGATACCATTCCTATTCAGAAAATTGTTCCAACTGAGTGTGTCTTACTTGAACTTTTTAAATTTTAGGATATTCAGATGGATACAAATACACACAAAAACAAAAGGGATTTGAACCATGAACCATTGAACACTGGGGCTTTCCCTAAAGGTTAGAGGTGACACGTGCAGCCCCTAGAGGCCCACAGTCGAGCAACCTACGGGGTGACGGGGGCCAGGTACCCTATCTGTGAGCCTTGCTTTGCTCCTCCGTGAAATGAGGATGGTAAGAGGACCTGCCTCATGAGGTTGTTGTAAGGACTTCATGCAACTATTTGTGCCAAGCACCCAGCACAAACCTGACACCCAGTAGGTGCTCCTAGCAGATGCTGGCACCCCTGACAGGCTGCGCCCCGTGACTCCTGTCAGTGGTTCCGTTCCGGTGACCCTCTGGGTCACGGGGCACTTAGGCAGTTACTCTCATATCGTCTTACATCTTGCCTTCGTGGATTTATATAGACGAGTTCAAAAAGAAAAGATACTTGCAAAAGGCAGGGTCCTGGCCCCAGTGGTAAGCAGCGTAGGTCGGGTCAGATTAATGGAGCGGAGGCTAAGGTGGGCACTCCACGCGGCCCGAAGCGCGTCTTCGGCCTCCGCAGGGCACTTGTTTGTCCAGTCACTCAAAGGTAAGGGATAAAACTAAAGAACATGAAGGAAATGTGGAGAGCAGATCTGTGTGGCTGCAGGTGTGGGATCCCTGGGAATCGAATAGGCTCCCAAGACTCTCTTTAGCTCCCTGTGAACGTGGCCTGCTCACGTGGGCCTGCTCACTATTCCACTGTTGACACCCTCTGTGTTGAGTGGCCCTCACAGGTTGGCTGGGGCCCCGTGCTGGGGTCAGGGAGGCGGCTGGAACAAGGCACCAGGCCTAGTAATAAAACATGAGGATAGCGTGTGACCTCCCAGGGGGCAGCAGTGCCTCCTCCCACCGAGTCCTCACCAACTCCTATGAGGTAAGGACTCTTTTTATCCCCTCTTTGTACAGAGGAGGAAACTGAGGCTCCCAGAGGTAAACTGACTTGCATTTCACCCTCCCGGTCACCACACGCTCGCACGCACACACGTGCGCACACACACACACACCTCCACCACCACGTGACTCCTCCCACCTCCCCCTTGGAGTTGCAGCCTGGGGCACCTGGGGCTCCCCACCCATCCCTGAGGACGGGCGCCTGGGGGGAACACTCGGCCTCCACAGCCTAACACACAGCTCCTCCTGCAGAGGTCACTGCCCTCCCCCCCGACCTCTCCTGCCCACCACGCACACCCAGCCCACATAGCCCAGCTGAGCTGTGGCCCCCACTGGCCACCTGCCCCTGCTCCTCTTGCAGAGTCAATGCGGCGCAGCGTGTCCGAGGCAGCCCTGGCCCAGCCCGAGGGCCCGCTGGGCACGGACTCCCTCAAGAGCCTGACCCTACACGACCTGAGCCTAAGGGGCAGCTCTGAAACGTCAAAAACCCCGGAGCTGTCCATGTCTGCGGAGACACTTGGCCCCTCCACGCCCTCCGACGTCAACTTCTTGGTTGGCCCAGACGACGCACCCGAGGCCGCTAAGGCACAGGAGGAGCTGAGCACCAAGGACAGAGGCTGCGGCTTGCGCTCCTCCTTCCCTGACGGTTTCCACCCCAGGCGCTCCAGCCAGGGCACCACCCGGATGCCCTTCTGCTCCTCGCCCATCGTCAAGAACCCCTTCATGTCGCCGCTGCTGGCGTCTGACAGCATGCTACAGAGCCTGCCGCCCGTGCACATTGTGGTGAGCGCCAGATTCGGACAGTGCGCTGGGCGGGGAGCAAGGCGAGCAGGGGCGGGCAGGGGCAGGTGCACCTGCGGAAGGGAGCCCGGGAGCGAGAGAGCGGAGGGGTGGGGGTGGTAAGGTGGCCTGGCTGCCGGCCGAAGGGAAGGGAGAGCCGTGCCACCAGGAGGGAATGCCCGGGGACCGGAGGGCTGCAGGGAAACCAGGGCTGCTATTTCCTCTCGCGATCGGGAAGGGGAAAGAGGTGGTGGGTCTGGGGGGCGAAAGGGGCGGAGATGCTGGGCCGAGGCTCAGTCTCCCACCCCCCGCCCCCTCCCCTCGTTCCCCTGCCCCGTGCCCCACCCCCGCCGTCCCGCAGGCCTGCGCGCTGGACCCCATGCTGGACGACTCGGTCATGTTCGCGCGGCGGCTGCGCGGCCTCGGCAAGCCCGTGACGCTGCGCGTGGTGGAGGACCTGCCGCACGGCTTCCTGAGCCTGGCGACGCTGTGCCGCGAAACACGGCAGGCGGCCGCGCAGTGCGTGGAGTGCATCCGCCTCATCCTCGCTCAGCCCGCCCCGCCCGCAGCGCCGCCGGTCTGAGCCCCGGCCCGGGCCGGGCCGCGCGGGCAGCTGGGGCTGCGGGGGGCGACACTAAAGGCCTCTTGTTCCCATCTGAGCCGGCCTCCGTGGTGAATGCGCCCCGGGTTAGGCGGCGGGGACGTCCCCCCCCCAGTCGAGGGGCTCCCGGTCCCCTCCAGCCCTTCCGTCGGGCCGGGCGCGCGAGGGGCAGTATGTGCCTTAAGGTGGGAGGACGGCTGGGGGGGAGGGGCGGGGGCCCAAAGCCGAGACCCTGCCCTGAGGGGTGGGGGGCGCGCACCAACCAGTCTCCGTAGACAGCTGGAGCTGCACTCCATCATCGCCTTCTACTGCTGCTGTGACCGCCGCAGGGTGGGGGCCTGGCCCTACCCGCCAAGACGGTTTGTTTTTGTTCCTTTGTAAATAAAAGTATTTAATTAGTTCGGCCTCTTGCAAATAGGGTCGGGTGTCGCCCACCAGGGGGCAGCATCGGACTCTGCTGCTGGGATCTGAGCAGCCTGGCAGTAGAAAGCTGGGAGCCCAACTTCTGGGTCCTGAGGAACGAGCCGACTGCGGGCTCGGATTCCTGGGTGCGGAGGGATTAGACGCCCCTACTAACACAGACCACCTCCCCTTCAGACCTAATCCACGTGATGTGCCAGATGGCCCTGGGTTCTCAGCTACTCCCCTTTGCAGACCTAGCCCCAGCACCCACCCAGAAAAGAAAACCCAAACGCCCTAGAGAACTGCAGCAACTATATCAGGAAACCAGAAACAAAACTGATCACCCCAAATACTGGAAGCCCAAGCTCTCCTGAGCTGTGACAGTCACTCAGTCCCTCAACCAAGACTCTGAGGTCTTGTCCTTTTGTAGGCCCTGGGTTTGGAGCAGAGATGATTTCTATCCAGGGCCTGTCTTCAAGGGACTCAGGGAGAATGGGCGGAGAGACCCAGACACAGCATGTCACAGTTCCCCCAGGTTCCATCTGGTAATCAAGGAGGGCTTCGTAGAGGAGGTGATCTGAATTTGACCTTAAGGGATAAGTGTAAGTCTGCTAGGCAGAAGAAACATGCAAAGTTGTGAGAGCCACTGCACAGTTATCAAAGCCTCTGCCTGGCCAGAAGGTCAGGTACAAAGTGGGAAGTGGCCTGGGGGGCCTGGAGCAGTCAGCAAGAGCAGATCCTGAAGGGCCTGGAATACAATCTGGACTGAACTGGAGGGCAGTGGGAGCCACAAAAGGGCTTTGAGCAGGGGAAGGACAGGATCAGCTAAGGCACTGAAAGGGCCTGCTGGGACCCTGGGGGATGGACTGAAAGGGGCAAGACTGGAGTCCTGGAGGCAGAGGAGGCTGGGGACAGGGAAGACAAGGCCTGAGCTGGGGCAGAGGCCATGAGGGTAACTGACGTTGAAGAGGACTTATTGTGGGTGGAGCAGTTGGGGATGAAGATGGCACTCAGGCTAGCCATGGGAGCAGGTGGACGGTGAGGCTGTGTCTTTACTGGGAAGAGGCTCTGGTGTGTACAAGGAGGGTGGCCGTCTACTGAGAGCTGTTTTGCACATGGAGAGATCAAAAAGTCTCTGTGAAGCAATGCAGGGGGGCATCCCGGAGGCAGCAGGGGGCAGGAAAGCAGGCTGGTTGCTCACTTCTGGCTGGAGCTGAGGGACTAGAACCTTTCCAGGAAGAGTGGACAGGTGGGATGAGCAGAGGACCAGGACAGAGAGAACCCTGAAGGCCACTGCCCCCAGGAAAGGGGTGGGCAGTAAAAGGGGAATCAGTTCTGGAGGGTTCTAAGGAGCAGCCGGAGAGAGAAGAAGCTAACCAGGAAACAAGAGATTTCAGGTGGGAGGGAGTGGTTGGGGTGAGATGAGGATGGAAATATTATCCTCACGCCTCAGCAGGGAGCAGGTGGGTCCTTGGTGACCTTGTCCAGAGCTATTGCAGGGCCGGCCATGGGATGTGGGCAGCCAGACATGGAGGGCTGAGGAGGGAGCCATAGCCCAGAACTCTCCCTGAAGGTCTTGTTCCCCCTGTTGAGCTCATAGGACCTCTTGTTCATCTCTCCCAAACAGTCATCCACCCACCAACCCGCTCGTATTTCCTGTCCCCTGTAGCCCAGGCCAGAACTCTGGGTCTTGTCCTGGACAGCCCCTCATCCCATAGCCCATCAAGCCCCATATTCTATTGTTTCTGCCTCCCGAACCTCTCTCTGCCTTATCCCCTTGGTCTCTGACCTAATCCACGCTTCATCTTCTCCTGCCTGGGTGTCTGCTCAAGCCACCTTCTGGGCTACTGGCAGCGTCCAGTCTCGTTTCTCCAGTTCCAGCTCCAGCTCTGACCTCATCTTCCCCTGCTCTAAACCCTTCCATGGCTCCCCACGACCACCCCACCCCAGGACAAAGTCCAAGCTGCCAAGGCTGGCCTTGCCCACTTCATCCTCTTCCAGCCTTATAGTTACCCCACCGCAAGGACCTGACTGGCGTCCTTCTTGGGCACCTACACAGAGTAATACTCCCGCATACCTCCCTTTCTTCGCTTGTGCTGAAACACCCTCTCACATGCTCTTCTCCTTTGCTTGGCACCTCCTGCCCCTCCAGGATCCAGCGCCAATGTCCCCTCCTCTGGAAACCCTTTCCTGATCCAGCAAAGCCTAAAGAGACTCTCCCCACCTCGGCACATCCCTGCCCATCAACGTGTCTGTCCTCCCCGGGATCTGACCGGGGATCTTCGAGGGCAGGGCCTAGGCCTGACTCATCTTGGTCACCACCGTCGTCCAGCACAGGGCCTGGCACATCGGAAGCCTCGGGAAACGTTTGAGTAATAGGTGGCTGAGTGTGTGATGAGCGAGCGAGTGAGTAGCAACAGAAGCTAATGGGAAAGCCAGTGAGTGGGAGAGAGAATGAGGGCAGGAGAGACTGAACGGATGGGTGTGCAGGCCAGGTAGGCGCAGCCGAGAAATCAGGTTGAGGCTGAGAGGAATGGAAGGGAGACATGACTGTCTGGGACTCAGTTTCCCCAACAAAGCAAAATGCGCAGTCGCCCGGGCTAAGCGGCCCCCTCCGCCTTCAACCCCAACAAACCTCGCCGTTTCCCCTCCGAACTACGTCCAGAATCCCAGTACTGGGCGTGCTGGAAAGGGCTTACCGACTGGACCCGCAGAACCTGTTTCCCTCCCAAGCCGCTCCAGCCTCTGGGAGGTGCCGCGGGATTCCCACCCCCAGGTGCCCGGCCTATTGGCTGCCTGGCAGAGACTAGCGGAGACTGGCGTCTTCCAGAGCCTATCGCTGTCCGGTTTAGGCCGTGGGCTCCGCCTACCAGGGAAACGTGCCCCAAGTGGTCCTGGGCGATAGGAGGCGGAGCGTCTATTGGCTGGAAGATAGTGACTGACGTCATGGGTAGCTTATCACAGCCAGCCTCCGGAGGAGCGCTCCCAGTTCAGGCCCGCCTCTGGAAAAACGCAAAGGGGTGGTAGCCGAGGGCGTGGTGGATGGCAGAAGCGCCCCGGAAGTGGGGTCCGGCCGCTCGCGCAGCTCGCTGGCCTCATCATTGGGTCCTAAGGGAGGATGGGGACTTGAGAAGTCTGGACTCCGTGGTCCTGAGGGAGGAGGGGCTGGGGATCTGAGGGAGGAGGGACAGAGGAACCTAGACTTCAGGGTCTGAGGAGCATCTGAATGGTTGGATCTTGAGGAAGGAGGGAGCTGGGAACCTGAAAGGTCGGGGTGTAGGGACGGGGACTCCCAAGAGTCGCTGGCCTGCCCCGGGATGACGGATTTGAGGTTTCAGATTTTATGTGGCTATTTATGGGATTGGAGCCAGGCCTTGTCCCCAGGCAAGAGTTCTGGGTCCCGTGAGGTGGGGCTTAGAATAGAAATGAGGAGGAGGAGGCTTAGGGGAAGCTCTGGCCTCGGTGTGCCCTTTCCACCCCCACCCCCACCCCCGGAAAGGGAAGCCAGGGTGCTGTCTGCCAGGGGAACCCAGAGCGGGAGGAGACTTGAAACTCACATGGAGACAAAGAGAAAAACATTGATACCAAGAGAGATTAAAATAGTAAAAACAATAATTATAAGGGAGCTCTCTCTTGTATGGCGTGGACTGTGTGTGGCCCCGGTTCTATGCGAAGCATCTCACATAATTATCGCATGTCTTCCTCATTACAGTTCTAAGAGATCAGTTTATTATAATCCCCATTTTACAAGTGAGAAAATTGATGCCCAGTGAGGAAGAATCAAGATGCAAATGTGAAGAGACAGGAGAGACACAAAACACAGATGGAGATAAACAGGCAAAGAGATAAAAACAGGCCCAGAGAGGATAGAAAAGGTAGACAGCAAACAAAAGAGAGGGGCTGCAAGCGGGGACTCCTGGGGTGGGGTAGGGGGCTGGGGCCTAGGACTCCTGGGTCCCAGGACTCCTGGGTCCCTGGGTTGGAAGGACCTAGGACTGGGGCTTTCAAGTATCTCCTCTCCTGATTTCCAAATACCAGACTTGTCCAACCCTTCTCACTGTGGGCGTTGGACCTGGTTGGGGTCAAAAATAGTGATTAGGAGGGGGCAGGCGTGTCATTATCCTATTAGGAGATGATAAGAAAATGATTCATGGGGATGCCCCCAGCCTGGGAGGGGCCTTTCCCCCATGGCCTCTGTTGTTTCATCTGGACAGATTGGGCCTCAGAAAGGACTGGGGAGGGGCAGGGTCCTCTCTGTCCCTCTCCACCACTGCACCTCCATCTCTCAGAACTGTCACTAAGTCCCACCATGGAGATGAGTGGGCCACCGTGGGGCATCTCTCTGGGCCTCTCTGCTTTCCCCCACACCTTGAACCAATGCCCACCAGAGGTCCTGGCACATCACAGGAGCTCAGCAAATGCGTATCGAATGGATGGACAAACCTCTCTGGGCAGCTATTCCTCTGTCCCCGTCCTGACCATCTCTCTGTGTCCCCATCATGTTTCTCAGCCTCTCCCTCGCCTCACGCATCTCCTCCCACCTTCCCTTTCACACAGGTGTTTCATCCGAGGACACAGGGCCCCCTATCCCCAGTAAGAAGAAACTGAGGCTTTGGGGAACCTGGGTGGATCAGTCGGTTGAACATCCAACTCTTGATTTCGGCTTGGGTCATGATCTTGGGGTCCTGGGATCAAGCCCTGTGTCGGGCTCTGTGCTCAGCTGGGAGTCTACTTGAGATTCTCTCCCTCTCCCTTGGCCCCTTCCCCGCTCAAATAAATAAATAAATCTTATAAAAAGGAAGAAAAGGAAGAAGGAGGAGGAGAAGAAACTGAGGATCATTTTGGGAGAAGTCACCCTCCCAGGGTCACCTGTGGGACATGAAAAGGAGGAGCTGAGAGGGGTTCTCAAGACCCCAAATACAGACACACCCCTGGCATCTCGGAGTCAGAAATGTAAGATCACACCAAACATGTGCCCTCAATACCTGCTTAGTGGGATCTTCATTTGCACCCATACAATCAGAGAATCACATGCACCACGCGCACTCACCCACAAACACAAACATAAACATCAGCACACAATCACATAATCACCCTTACTGACAACACACACAGAAATCTCCTATTCTGGGGTGCCTGGGTGGCTCAGTCATTGGGCGTCTGCCTTCGGCTCGGGTCATGATCCCGGGGTCCTGGGATCGAGGCCCGCATCGGGCTCCCTGCTCCGCGGGAAGCCTGCTTCTCCCTCTCCCACTCCCCCTACTTGTGTTCCCTCTCTCGCTGTGTCTCTCTGTGTCAAATAAATAAATAAAAATCTTAAAAAAAAAAAAAGAAATATCCTATTCCACATGCAAATCAGACACCCCAGGTATGCAATTATACGCCCAGCCACAGGCAAGCCACTCATTCAAACCCAGCCAGGACCACGAGAAGACTTGGTTTCCTTCTCAACTGTATCTCCAGCAGCTAGAACAGCACCTTGCTCTCATCAGCCGCAGAAACACAAAATGTTTCCGAGTGTCAGGCACAGTTCTAAGCCCTTCCCGTGAACTAACTCATCGAATCCTCGCAACCACCCTATTTGCCACCACTCATTTTAAAGATGGACACACCAAGGTCCAGGCAAGCTTAGTGATTGGCTAAAGTTTTCATGGCCAGGAAGAGGCTATGAGAATTTGAACTCAGGTTTTCTGGCTCTGGAACCCATCACACGAGGCTCCTATTCAATAAATCACTCCTGCCTTAATCCAGTTGGAGTTCTAGAACCATGACAACCGACCACACCTGAACCAGATGCACAGTGGGCGGGCGGGGTGGGGAGATGCACAGTGGGTAGAATTTCAGGAAGGCAATATAGACACACAAATAGAAAAGACCCCCCAGAACACACAGAGACATGGGGCAACCCCCACAGGGACACACAGCACCCAGAGAGAGACGCACACACCACACGCAGAGACACAACACACCCAAACCCAGACACGGTGTCCCACCCAGAACTCCACTGAGCTCCTGTTCTGCTCCCAGCCCCACTGGGTTGGCCCTCGAGGAAGCAGCAGGCTCAGGATGGGAAGAGGGGACAATCTCACTTGTCTGCTCTGCCTGACTGGTTCCACGAGGGCCATGGATGGCACCACCCACCTTATGAAACCCGCATTGGGCAACTGGACCCAGACCTGACCTGGACTCTTGGATTCTGGAGCGAAAGGGGCTGGGAGCCTGAATTCCTGGGTTCTGAGGGAATAGGAGCTGGGTGCCCCCCCAATCATGGATTCTAGGGGAGAGGAGGATGGGGATTGGGACCTGGACTCTCAGATCCTGAGGAAGAAGAGCTGGAGGTCTGGGATCCTGGGTTCTGGAAAAAGAGGGGCCAGGGACTTGGATTCCTCTCCTCTGTCTTTTAAGGCAGGGTTCCAGAGTTAGCAGATAAAAATACAGGACACCCAGTTAAAGGTGAATTTCAGATGAACAACAAATACCTTTTTTAGTATAAGTATATCCCAAAGATGGCATGGAACATACTTACGCCAAAAAAATGTTGTTGTTGTTGTTGTTGTTGTTGTTGTTGTTGTTTGCCTGAAATTTACATTTAACTGGGCATCCTATATTTTATCCAGCAACGCTGTTGAGGGGATGGATGCCAGGTGCTCGGAGACAGCCATGGCCACTGGTCAGGCCCCAGGCCCCTGCTCTTCCTGCCCCTGCCCTCCTCCTCACCCCTAAGCAGGCCACCTCACAGCTTCCCCACCCGCTTTCCTCATCTACATGAGTTGCTGTCTAATTGCAGCCCCCAGGCTGTGTCAGAGTGGGGAGAGGAAACCCGAGGACAACTCGGGTTGTCATCCTGGGAGCCCTGGGGTCCTCAGAGATGACTGACCCTGAGTCACCTGCAGATCATGGTCTGGCAAGCTGGGGGATGGGGCCCTGGGGCTGCCTCTGTGGGGAGGCCTGGAGATGGAGATGTGGGGATGGGAGGCAGAGACCCGGGGACGAGGGCAGGAGACACACAGCTTGGGGGAACAGAGACTCAGACATGGGGAGACAGAGAACCAGAGCAACTTGGAAACAGACTGGCACAGATCAGGAAAGAGATACAGAGCTAGCGAGGCAAAGATGCAGAGATGGGGGCACAGGGACACTAGACCAGAAGTGGAGAGAAGATGTTCCTAGACATTCAGGCTCCTGGACCAAGTGACAGACATGCACCAGAAAAACACTGAGTGCCACCCAGCAGTCTGGGGATAAGGAGAGCGAGCCATCTGGGTGGTGCCGGGAGACCAAGGCTTGGGTCCTGCTGTGGGTTGGATTGGGAGGTGAGGAAAAAGCTGGGATCCCAGGCGGATAGGGTGATCCACCTGCCATCACCCATACCCATTCCCAGTGGGGTGACACCACCTTCTCTGCAGGTGACACCCCAATTTTCCAGCGCCTACATTTTTGGGGTGACACCTGTGCTGGAAACCCCACCCAACTCTAATGCTGCTTCCCTCACTGAGTCACTTCCAACCCTGCCAGGCCTGTTGGGGGCAGACTTTGGTGACTCAGGAGCCCAGCATCAAAAATCCCAGGACCCCTGCACACTCAGGGGCGCAGCCTAGCCTAACCCAAGAGTCTACACCCCTAGCCAGAATCTGAGCCCCTCTCCCTCCTCTGTTAGGGGCCCAGATGAAGCCCCAGCCCCTCCTCCCTCAGACCCAGGAGTCCGGCCCCCGCCCCCCCATCTGCTCTGTTACCCCCCCCACCCCCAGTCCTGGGCCACATCCATCTCCTTCCAGAACCACAGTTTCTCGGTTCCCAGCCTCCTCCCTTCCCAGTTTGAAGGTCGAGTGAGTTGTATATATTTACTTTGGTTTCAGCATGAGTGACCCCCAAAACACACTGCCCCCCATGGGCCTGGTGGCCCCAAATGGGAGGACGGTGCCCCCTCTTCCAGGGAAGTGGGAACCTCACTCAGGGGGAAAGGAGAGGCCCTCACAGGGGAGCCCCCACTGCACTCTCCTGCACCCCCCATTCCTTCCTCCACCTCCCTGCCTCTCCACTTTCCACCTCTGTGTCTCTTCTCTGAATCTGGCTCCTCTCTCTGCTGTTTCTCCCCCAGATCTTTGTCCCTCTCTGTCTCGGCATCTCTCTCTCCATCTCTCTATGTCTTCGTCTCTGTCCATCTCTCTGAATCCCCTTCTCTCTCTCCCGCCTGGGCCTCTCCCCTTCTGTCTCTGTGTCCCCCATTCCCTCCCCGTCTCTCTGTCGTTCCTCTCTTTGGGTCTCTGCACTGTGGCCCAGCTGCGCCCCTTGAGCCTCCCCTCTGCCTTCTCTCCCCTCACCCCGTCTCTCCCTGCCTGCTCCCCTTTCTGTCTTCCCTCCCAGCTCCGCATTCCTGGCCCCCTCCCTGATTTCCTCGGTCCCACAAGAGCTGGAGGGGAAAAGGGGGGATGGGGGATGGAGAGCCAGGGAGGGGAAGTTCCTGTGGGGGGAAGAGGGTCAGCCAGACCGGCTGGGCTCCCTGGGCACCTCTGTCAGAGCCCCACCCAGGGCTGTGTGGCCCGCCCCAATATAAGCAGCTCCTGGCCAGAGACAGAACACAGTGCCTGGCTCACCCACACCTGTCTGCATCATCGCCGTTGCTGTCTCCTGCAGGTAGGAGCATCTGCCCACAGCCTCTTCTCTGTGTCCCCACCCCCCCCACCCCCCGCTCCCCTGACATCTCTGTCCCTTGCATATCTCTGACTGTCTCGGTGGACACTTCTGTCTTTCTCAATGCCCTCCATGTCCACCTTCTCAACCTCAGTGGCGCTGGGTTGAATCTGGAAGTCCTGGGGCCCAGCGCGGCCTCTACTAACCCCCTTGGCCTGGGCTGTTGGATGTGGGGCATTTCTCTTCACCTCTCTGAGCCTCAGTGTTCCATCTGCGAAATGGGCTTTCAGAGAAGTCAAAGCCCTGGGCAGGTGTGAGTGTTACTGGTGGCATCTCTCTGGGCACCTGGCTCTGATCTCTTTCTCCCCTTGTCTCTGACTCCGCCTGTCTCTGTCCCCTGGTCTCTGTCTCCAGCTCTACCTCTGGTATGGGGAAGGTCCTGTGGGGTCTGTCGGGCAGCGGTACAGAGATGGGCGAGTTTCTCGCCCCCACCCCATACATCCCTACTCCATGTTTCTCCCAGCTGGCAGGCTGACTTGGCCTCTTTCTCCCCAGTGCCCTTCCCCCTGAGAACCCAGCCCCCAGTGCCCCTGCTCCTTGCCCGCCCCTCCCCCAGTATCCAGCAACCTTTGGACAGACTCAGCCACTGTCACCGCGGCCACCTCTGCTGTCCCCAACACCGCCACCTCCTCAGGGCCAGCAAGATGCAGTTTGAGATGCACGACAACGTGAAAGGCAAAGGTGGGATCACTGGAACCCTTCCGGTCCCTGGAACCTGGCCGCTTCCCTCCCCTGGGCGCCCTGGCTTCGAAGACAGATGGCGCCTGATTGCATCCCAGAGACCCCTGGAAATGCGGGAACCCAGCTCCCCAGGCGCAGACGTGGAGGAGGTGGCGCACTTCTCGCCCCGCCCGGATGTGGCACCCACCCTTCCCCAGACTTGCAGGAGTTCCCCACCCACAGCCCAACCAGATGTGCAGGAGGCAGTGGCGATGGGGACAGACTGGGGTGTCAGTGCCCAAACGTGGTGGAAAGGAAAGGGGGGTGCAGTGGTGTCCTCTCCGTGGGCGGCCTGGTGGCCCCGCCCAGACTGCCCGGCAGAGGCAGGGGCGGCAGGGATGTGGGGTCCGGGAGGGGTTGTCGGGCTGCCCGCTGACCCTGGCCCACCACCTTCGCAGCCATGTCCTACCCAGTGACCAGTCAGCCCCAGTGCGCTAGCAGCTGCTACCAGACCCAGCTCAGCGACTGGCACACGGGACTCACGGACTGCTGCAACGACATGCCCGTCTGTGAGTGCCGGCGGCTCCCTCCGGGGGGCGGGGCCAGGCCCCACGAACCCCACGCCCCCTCCCTTCCTTAGACCCTGAATCCCCACACTCTGGCCCTCACCCCTTCCTCCCACCTCCAACACTCCCCGGGATCCTGACCTCACCTCTTCCAACGTCCCCTTGCACCCTCAACTTTCCCCGTTGTGGCCCCAGCTCCCCCTCCAAAACCCTATCTCCCATCCTCCAAACCACCCCCGCTGGGAACCCTTCATTCCCTCCGGGACCCTCGACTGGGCGCCGCGGAGCATCGGCCTCGCCTCTCCCCCAGGCGCCTCTCCCCGGTGGGCCCCGCTCTGACTGCCCCGCGCCCGCCCCCAGGTCTGTGCGGCACTTTCGCCCCCCTGTGCCTCGCCTGCCGCATCTCCGACGACTTCGGGGAGTGCTGTTGCGCGCCCTACCTGCCCGGAGGCCTGCACTCCCTGCGCACGGGCATGCGGGAGCGCTATCACATCCAGGTGCGTGCGGGTCGCGGGGCCCGGGCGGGGACGGACCTCCTGGGACCCAAGGCGGGGCTCCTAACTCTCTCTCCCCCAACCCTCTAGGGCTCCGTCGGGCACGACTGGGCGGCCCTCACCTTTTGTTTGCCCTGCGCCCTCTGTCAGATGGCGCGGGAATTGAAGATCCGGGAGTAAAGCAGCTCCACGCGCCTCCTCCTTTTCCACCTGTCACGCCCGGCCCCCTCTGCCCCCTCGGCCCCCTCTGCCGCCTCGTGGGAGGGCCTGCCCCTCCGCCCTATCCCGCTACCAGAAATACACCCACAATAAAAACCTGAAAACCAACTCCGCCTGCATTCTTTTTGTCCCAGGGAAGGAATCTGGGTGGAGAAGGTTTGGTGAGGGTTGTGGGGACACAGGGAAGATGTCTAGGTGTGGAAGGATGCCAGGGTCAGATCCTTGACCCCAGCCTGCTGTGTATGACATTGGCAAGTCTTACCTCGCTAAGCCAGGGGGTCCTCATTAACAAAGTGAAACCACTAACCCCTTAAGCTGCCCAACCGAAGCTCTGCAGGGATCCTGAAAATAAGCAAAACCAGAAAAAGCTCCAAGAAAAAATTTAGGAGAGCCCCTTCCCACCCCTACTAAGTCAATACCTATGGACTCTTGGCCTACACACAATCCTAACAGGTTTGGGGTGGGGGGGTCCTTTGTCTCCAAAGCAGAGAACTGCCAGGTTTAAGGCTCCCTGGACCTGAAACTAATCCTTAAGGATCACCCAGTTCTCTTTATTGCAAAAGCGACTAGCAGATTAAGAAAATCTAGTCTCAAAATTGGGCAGAGCAAGGATCTGATCTCAACTCTTGCCACTTACTAGGCGTATTATCTTAGGCAATTAATAAGCCTCTCTGAGCCTGTTTCCTCCTCTGAGGATAATCCCTAATATGTCATATGGCTACTGTGTGAGCTAGAGAACAGATGGAAAGACCAAAGAGTGAGCTTAATAAACTTGTTAGTATTATTATGTATAATAACACTACACTATTCTGTTATTTGTATTATTTGCTGTTATTCTCGCTCTCTCTCTCCATCTGTGTATCCAACCATCAAGTGACATCTTTACTAGGAGTATCTAATGGGCATCTCAAATTTAAAACCTAACTCCAGGGATGCCTGGGTGGCTCCGTTGGTTAAACGTCCGACTCTTGATTTTGGCTCAGGTCATGATCTCAGGATCTGAGAGAGCCCACGTTGGGCTCCCTGCTGGGCATGAGACCTGCTTAAGATTCTCTTTCCCTCCCCCACCCTGCAAGTACTCTCTCTCTCTCAAATAAATAAATAAATAAATAAATAATTAAATAATTAAATAAAACCTAACTCTAGATTCCCCACCCAAAACCTGCTACTCCCAGGCTCCCCCTCTCAGGAAATAGCAAACCCCATCTTTCCAGCTGCTCAGTCACTTTATTACCCAATGTCCCAACCTGTCAACTAGTTTCGTTAGTTCTACTTTCAGAATATATCCAAAACCTCACTTCTCCCTACTCTGCTGCCCCCACCTTGTTCCAGCCACCCTCCTCTTCAGCCTAGACTAATGCAGTGGCTCCTCACTGGGCTCCGTGCCCTAACTCCACATCTTTAGTTTCCTCCCACAGAGAAGCCCTGTGAACACCTGAGTTAGGTCACATCCCTCCTGCCCTCAGAAACTTCTCATGGCTCTTCCTGCATAGAGTTCAAGCCAGAGCCCTCACTGTGGCCCAAGGACCTGCACCATCTGCTTCCTGCTTCCTCTGTGCCCTTTTCTCCTTATTCCCTCTGACGAGTCTCGTGGTTGTTTCTCCAATGCTAGCCATGCTCCCACCGCAGGACCTTTGCACTAGCCGTTCCCCCGACTTGGAATTCTCTTCCCTCACATGTCCCTATGGCTCATTCCTGCACTTCTGCTCACACGCCATCTGAAGAGAGAGGCCTTCCCTTCTACCTTATCTTCCATAGCGAGTACCGACCCCCCCTTCCTCTCCTTCATCACCTTGTTTTTCTGGCCATATATCAACATACCACATCATTTGCTTATTTATTATCTGGCTCCCCGCTGGTTTGTCAGCTCCATGAGGGCGGGGACCTCATTCACAGCTGTGTTCCCAGCACCTAGAACAGTGTGGAGCCCATTGCAGGTGGAGAGGAGTGATCACAGGTGGGAGCCATGGACGCAGAAAAGGGACATGATTTTAGAGGTAATTGGGGGAGGGGGCAATGGACAGACAGGCTTGCATCAGAATCTGGGCTGTTAATCTGCCCTGAGTCCTTAGGCAAGGGGCTTAGTTTCCAAATCTGCAAAATGGGGGCACAAACCTGTACCTCTCAGCATTGATGTGGGGAAGAGTAAAAGACACACCAAGCACCCAGCACTCACTACCTGGAATGCTGTAGGCCCTTGGTGAAATCCCCCCCACCCCTTTTCCCGAAATCCTTAGGGCATTGATGGCCATACACAGACCCCTGAATCCAGACCTTCAGGCTCCCATGCTCAGGCTTTCTCTCACGCTCCTGGAGCCTCTTGCATTCAGGTATGTGGATAGCAGAGCAAGGTGCCTGCTGAGGGGCTAAGTGGAGGGACAGTGCTTTAGGGCATTCGTAGAGGAGCATCCGCACGCCATGGACAGCAGCTGGAGAGGGCGGCTCTGCGTCCCAGGGACAGGGTCCAGTCACAGTGCAAATGCTCTGCCCCGGAAGGCAGTCACAGGCTGGTGGCGGGAAAGAGACCTTACCAAAGGTCTGATCAGAACGCAGACGAGTCTTGAAGAACCACCTTAGCTCCTTCCTGGTGGTGCAGGATGATCGCTCCACTGGGACTGGAGACTGGCCTGGGACTCCCCGAGGCAGCACGCCCTGCTTCTGGTGAGCTTCCTGGGTGGGAAATTGTGCCTGACCCCTGGCAGAAGCTGGGTATTTCAAACACCTGCCCCTAGCGCCCGCTCTGTGCTGGGACAGCGCTCAGCTAGGTGGGCTAAGGAAGAATGTGCACGATGCCCCTTTTGCTCTCTCTGTGGCCTCATCTCCTCCTTATTCCCTTATTCCCGGGGCCTCCCTCCTCAGGGGGTGAGAGGGCCTGGTGGTCAGGCATGTGGATTTGAGTCATGGGACAGCTGTCCCTGAACAGCTGAGTGAGGTCTATGAACTTCGGTCTTCTCATCTGCACACCGGGATTAGTTACCCCCTCATACGATTGCTGGGCAGGAACATGGCCAGGAGAGCCGTCTAACACGGGTGCTCAGCACATACAAGTTCACGGTCACGTCGTGGAGGGCAGGTACTACCAACAGCTCATCAAGGCAGAACTCCTGTGTGGGCAGAGTCATCCCTGAAAATCCTGGACGTTGCCCATAAATCTGAAAATACTGATTTTCGTGGACCGCACTGCAGATGCAACCCCCCCCCCCCCAGTGCACCTCACTTTGGCTAACCACTGGATGAAGCCACCAGCCTTGCCCCTGGGCTGCCTGAACCAGAAGGCATGGTGCTTACCTCTCAGCCGGACTCCCACGCTGCGCAAGGCCAACTGAGGGCGCATTTCCACCGCCCGGGCCATGCTCTTGCTTGCCCTGCGGGCCTGGCAGGTGAAGGCCCCCGAGATGCTCCCCGTTTGGGCCGTGAGAGCCTTCTCGGATTCGAGGAAACTCGTCATGTTGGGGCATCTTGGTCTCTCTGCTGCCTCAACTCTTCTGAGGCCAGAATAAAACCCAAGCCTGGGACCAAGGGAGTCTGTTTTACCTCCTGAGACAAACGGGTCTCCCTGAGACAGGGATCTGAGGAAGGGCCAGAGGCCTCTGCGCCCCCACCTCCCTAGGTCTGTCCTTTCTAGGGACAAACAAGCAGCACCATCCCACCCCTGCATAGGAGAGGCAGGGTGGAGCCAGGCCCAGCCACGCAGCTCTGACGGGCCACCAAGGTCAGCACACCGGTTAGATTTCTCTACACTCGGGTGCCGTTCCGAGAAACAAGACACCCCATCTCCTGCATGCACACGGCGCTCAGACACCGGCCTTCCCCACACTCTTTATTTGCTGCTTCCAGCACTGTCCCTCTTTCAGCCTCATAGACTGAGGACCCCAGCAGAGAAGAGGCGGGGCTCAGCTCCTCAAGGTCCAAACCCGCAGCTGGGGGATGGAGTCTTGCAAAAAGGAGTCCCAAGTTCAAGATGGCTAGGATGGGAGCTGTCCTCAAGGGGGACAGGAGCTCAGAAGTCCAAGGTGGTGGCTGCTACCTCACCGCCCCACCTCTGATGCGTAGACCAGAACAGCCAATCCCCTGCACTTGGTTCCTTCCACTGAAATACGCAGAGCGGTCTGTCTCCCTGGCTGGGCCTGACTGAAGAGATGCCTACAGGGCATCTCAGACTGGACTTCTGATCGTCCCCACAAGCCCCAGGCTGCCCCACTGTAATAGACGACCCCGCCGTCCGCCCATAGTTTGAGCTACAAAGTCGAGGTCGTCCTGGATTCCCCTCCCCCGCCCCAACATCCACACACATCCTGCACCTGTCCCTGACCCCCTCCCCTCCCCACCACCACCCTAGTCCAGCCCACTGTCATCTCTTGTCCCCTCCGACCCATTCTCCACACCACAGCTGAGGGACCTCTTGAATAGGTACGTCGGATCCTGTCATTCACCCTCATACAACTGTCCCACGGCTTCCCATTGCCCTGAGAATAAAACTCAAAACCCTATCTGGGGCCTGCACGTCCCTGGGTGATGCCACCCCTGCCTGGTCCCCAACCTCACCTCCTCTTTGCACTCGGTCTGGGTCACACTGGCCACCTCTCCGATCCCTCCAATAAAGCACGCTGGTCCCCACCTCTGGGACTTGTCCTTGCAGCTCCCTCCACCTGCGACCCACTTCCCAGTGTTCTCCCAGTGGCCGGTTCTCTCAATCTTTAGGCCCAGCTTCTCCGAGTGCCCAACTTACCCTACCCCGCGGTCCCTCCTGGCCTCTCCTTCACAGAAATGATCTCACGTGTGTGTGTGTGTGTGTGTGTGCGTGCGCACGCACGCGTGCACGCACTGATTGTCTCCCTCCACTGGAACCGAAGCCCCACAAGATCAGGGAACTGGTCTGTCTCGCTTTCTGCTCTGCCCAGTGCCTTCAACAGCATAGAGTAAGTATTCAATAAATAATTGTTGGCTGCAGAACGGCGAGTGCCCTGGCTGGGGAGCCCCAGGGCAAGGGAGTCGGAGGTCTCTGAGGACACACTGTCCGGGGGGCCCCCAGGCAGAGGAGCCCCGAGTTCAGGGCGGCGTCATCAGGGCACTGCGCTGCCGTGGCTGAGGACCCCACCG